GGCAGTATATAAATATAAATAAACAAACAAACAAACAAATAAATAAATAAGGGGGATTTCTGACTGAAAATAAAAGCCCACGTAAGGAGGAAAACCTTCCAAGGTATTGCACAAAAATACTGTATAACTTCACTGTATATTATATTATATTTATATTATAATATAATATTAGTATAGTATAGTATAGTATAGTATAGTATAGTATAGTATAGTATAGTATTAGTAATAGTATAGTATAGTATAGTATAGTATAGTATAGTATAGTATAGTATAACTATAATATTTCACTTTAATTTTGATATTATCCTTGCCTTTTCCACAGCCACTCTTTTTTTATAGGAACTATGGTTTGTATTTTAAAAAGTGGATTGTTGTGGCTGTTGTGTATGATTATGATCCTCTAGTGCACAAGCAAGTCAGACTGAAATAAAATGTATAGTTATATTTATACCAGTAATAATTATTACACTGTCATTGGATTCTGAAGAGAAGAAGAAAAGGGATGCAAGTGGAATAGCAAAAGTCTTTCTCATTTCACCTTTCTTGAAAGATTTTGCAATATTACTTTTTGGCCAGGAACTCCAACTCCACATGAATGGAACCTATTTGTGCTTCTTTCTCACAACACCCTAATGCCGCTCAGAAACTCGCTCAAAGGCTCAATGTCACTGTTCCATATGGTTCTTACACAGAAGAAATTGTGGAAAATACAATTATTGCTGGTTTAGCAAAAATGGATGGAAAGCAACATCTTCATATGTTTAACCAAACAAGCATATTTATCCTAAAATGCAAATACTGATTGTTAAGAAGCTCTGGCACAGTAATCAGTACTTTTGCAACTTGAAAGGTTACTCTGTTAAGCCTAAAGAACAAGCTGTTTTTTTTCTCAAATCTCCACAATCAAATTTGTCAAACCTACCAGTATTTTAGAATTACTATAGCACTTTAGGATTTATTCATGAAGATTGGCTTTCTTTAAGTTATTGTGCTCCATCTAGTGGGCTTCAACAGAATTTTAAGCACAGGAAAAATGTTGGCAATTACTTTCAACCAACCTGGGCTTCCCAAAAGATGATTCTCTGTGTGAAAAGAACAATCCATCTCACATATGTTACGGTGTGTATGATTCCTTTAACATGTATGGAGGAAGACATTATGCTGGCGAGAGAAAATAGTGCTGACGTGGCCCAATACTACACGTATGTCATTTAGTTTTAATCCTACTTATTTTACATACTTTTTACATATGCTATATTTTATGACCTATTTTACAACTATTTTATTTGGTCAGAATTGTATGTTGTATGGTTGTAATGTGAAGGTGCTTCTGACATTAATAAAGAAACTGGTTTGATTCACCCAACATAATATGCCATGATTTGTTTACTCTCCAGTTATTAATTCAACCACAAGGCAGGATTTCCATAACATGTTAAGCACAATCAAACCACATTGTAATGGTGTCCTATATGAATAAAACCAATGACTTTTATATAAATACGCCATAATTTAACCAGAATGTGTCAAAATAAACATTACGCTGGGTTCATACAATTAAAAATTGTTCAATGTAGTCTCCGAAACCAGCATAATAGTAGAAACAAATGAGAACATTCATTCATTCATTCATTCATTCATTACCTTTAGAAATTGCCCCTCTCCTTCACAGGGTCTTTGGGCAGTCTACAAATAAAAGTTTAAAAACATAAAAAAATGAATATAAAAAATTTAAAATTGGGGCAAGGATGGTTAAAACCAGGGATGAAATCTAAAATTTTTCCCTACCGGTTCTGTGGGCATGGCTTGGGCATGGCTCTCCTTCTTGAATGAGCCGCTCTGGTCCACGCGCCAGCTGCGCATGCGCGCATCCAACCTGCCGCTGAATTAAATAAGCAGTGTGCGCTTGTGCAGCCGGCGTGTGGACCAGAGCGACTCATTCAAGGAGGAGAGTGAGCGACTCCGGTACCTTTCAGGCACTTGCCTTCCCTGACAGCCAGCTGTGGGAAAAAGGTGGGCAGTAGGAGTCGGGGAATGGTGCATTCCCTGACTCCAGGGAATGGGGCGGGTGGGCGGAGCCTCTAGCTTCCATTGCTACAGGTTCTCCGAACCACCAGCCATCATCGCTACCTACTCGCCCGAGCCGGTCCGAATCGGGAGCATTTCACTCCTGGTTAAAACTTGATATTAAATATTAATTAAAAGGTGAGGGAGGGGCTTCAGAGTGCACCCCTCTGAGCATCAAGAGAGATGGCAGAGCCAGGTCTTTAGACATTTTTGAAAGGCCAGGAGACTGAGGGCCAGCCTCCCGTGTGTGTGTGTGAGGGGGAAGATTGTTCTAAAGGGTGGAGGCAACCACAGAGAAGACTCTCTTCCTGAGCCCTTTCAGCCAGAATTCTTTAACTAACATTGATCACAACATACTTTTCCTGCCTGACTGGGTAGGATGGGCTGATGCGATGAGATGAAACTGGTCCTATAGGTTACCTGGCTCCATGCCATGTAGAGATTTAAAGATCATAATCAACACCTTAATCGGACCCAGAAGCAAACTGGCATTCAGTACAACTCACTCAGCACAAGTGCCATTGTATGCACCATTCTTCGGGTGCCCAACATTGATACCTTTTGTATCAGCTGAAGCATCCAGATACTTTTCAAGGATAGCCCCAAGTAGAATGAATTGCAATAGTCCAAACGGGAGATGACCAGCGTGAGTGACCGAGAGCCTCCCCATCCAGGAAAATGTGTAACTGGTGCACAAGATAAAGTCGAGTAAAGGACCTCCTTATCTTAAGAATAACCTTTAAAAAACTCATCAAAAGCCCCAGCTGTGGAAATTATTCCAAGAGGTGTTTGCAACAATCCTAGCAGAAGTGATTTATCCATAGGCATGGAGTATTTTTTTACAAGCATTCAGTATAGTTAATTTCCTTTTATTGGTACATTATATTTTGCCATTTTCATAGAATTCTACTTGTTTTAAGGAACATTTTTGTAACAGGGTTTCTTCATATATTCTAGTGCTATTGATCTGATTGGCTGGCTTTGGAAAACAGATGATTCAGGCTTTTTCTCAAAATACTTCTTGCCTGAAATAGATGACAAGAATGCAGTTCCCAAAGCAGTTCTTCTCAAGACACCCATCCTCCCAGATTTACTTAAGTCTGGTTGATTTGACTGGCTGCAAAGTTGGCAATCCTGACTCCTTTTTAAATATAGATATTTTTTGTCTGAAACGGTAGACTGTGGCTCCTGTGAAAGCTTTTTGGACTTACTTTATCAAATTCCCTTCATGAATTTAGTTGTCTGCCTGCAAAGTGGGTGTTCCAGGCTATTTTTAAAATCATATTATTATTTATTTTTATTTTGCTATTATTGTTGATACAAATAATCCAAGGCAGCATACATATCCAAGGCAAGGTCTCCTAGTCCTATTGTGATTTTAACTGGCTGGACATGAGAGTTCAAGGTAGTTTTGTCTTGGCCCCAGGGGTTTCTTGGGTCTTAATTAATTTATAAACTTACAATAGCTAAAGATTTGACATTCTTGTTGCTCTTACTGATCTTTAATACACCCAATCGCTTCTGGTATTAATATTATTTTAAAAGTGTCACTTCTATTGTCATTTTCCTATTTTCATAGATGACAGTGCTAAGACTGTTGTCATCTGGTTTTTCAGTATTCTCAAGCCTGACATGTTTGTTTACTCTTCACTGTATCTATATATCTATATATCTATATAGTACATATGATATATCCTTTGATTGGGGTATGTCTTTGTGACTTTGTCTAAATGTTAATGAAGCTGCTGCTGCTGCTTCAGTTCTTTGCACAAGCCCAGTCTTGCATTTCCTGCTCATGTGTCCCACTGTTGTAGTGTCATGCCGACTGCATTCACAATTGCCAACAGCAGACACCACAGAACTTCCTGGTGTGCTTGCATCAGCATGCTGACTCTCCCCGTGACAGGTTTCTCTGAGTATCACAGGATTAGCTCAGTGTAACAAGATTAACCAGGTTCAGCAGCGTCTGGGGGACCAACCTAAGAGGTGGGCAGACCCTATCTAGTGAACGGGAGTTGTCAAATGGCATAAGAGGAAGTGGTCCAGAAACCCCAGAATGCTTCCTCAGATTCACCTGACATAGTCACGTGATTTACATTCATATGCTTGACAACTCAGTCATTCTCCCAGGGTCACGTGATCATCTTTTGCAACCTCATCACAAGCAGAGTCAATGGGGAAGCCAGATTCATTGAACAACCGGGTTACTTACTAATTTAACAACTGCAGTGATTCACTTAACAAAGGTGCCAAGAAATCATAAAATGGGGCAAAAAAAACCCCCCTTTCTTTCTTAACCAATTTCTCCCTTAGCAACATCAATTTTGGGGGGGGCTCAACTGTGCTCGTAAGCAGAGAACTACCTGTATTATTACATCACAAGGCTTGTACCCCTTGGTGCAAAACTATATCCAGAGAAGAGTCTCTCTTCCCCCCCCCCCAATGCCGAAAAATTTCTTTACCTATAACACTCACAGTAGCCATTCGCAGAGAAATCACCTTTTTTTACAAAATCAGATTTTCTTGGTCTTAAGGAGGGAAGTGTTTGTGTGTGTGTAGGTGGGGAGGGTTGTAGGGAAATCCTGCGCTTCCCTGCTAATCCTTGGGAATTCCCTCGCCCCCCCCTCCCTGCAAAAAGAGGGTGGGGGAGACACCAACCATCCCCTCTGCCCTCACGTTCGTTAAGGAGGAAGCCTGGCTCGCTCTCTCGTCTCTCGCTCTCTCCATAATAGCCTGGCTGCTACGTCCGCCGCGGCGCCCGCGCCTCACTCCCGAGATGGGAGCCTCGGCGGCAGCAGCAGCAGCAGCCGCCCCTCGTGCAGTACCCGGAAGCAGAGGGAGGCGAGGGCGGGTCTTCGGCCGGAGACAAAACGGATGGCGGCGGGGCCCGGCGCCGGAGGGATCCGGAGCGTGGCTCGAGTGGCGGAGCGCCGCCCTCCCTCCTTTCCTCCGCTGGACGCGGCGCAGGGAGCGATGTGATTGGGCGGGCGGGCCTTCCTCGGATTCCCCTCGGCTGCCCTCCTCCTCCTCCGCCTTGTTTTGCTCCCGGGTTCCCTGGCGGAGGAAGGTACGCGGTGGGCGGCAGGGAGGGAGCGGGCTGGGAATGCGGCAGCCTCGCCGCCCGGGGTCGGAAGGGAAAAAAGGGCCGATGGCGGAGCTTCTTCCCCCGAGTAGGAGCTGCTGGGGCTCAATTGCTCGGGTTGGTGGTCCCGCATTGCCCAGGAGCCCCTCCCCTCCCCTCCCCTCCCCCTTGGCATGTGGCAACTTTTAGTTCCCCTTGAAACCCCAGTGGGGGGAAGCTGGTGGCGGCGAGGAGAAGGCATGGATTCTCCCGTGGCGAGGAAATGCCCGGGGCCAACCCCTTAGTCTGGTTGAATTTGGGTGGGTGGGAGAGAGACCGCGAGGGAAGGGACCAAGGCGCTGGAAATCCTTCTTGAGTCCTGGGCTTCTGCTTTAAAGTTCCACCCTGCAACGTGGGATCTCTCGCATTATTTTCTTCTCGGAGGGGGAATCTTTGCCCAGCCCTTGGATGGAGTTTTATTGTTCCATCTATACTTCTGATTTTGGGGAGGTAGTTAAACATAGCAAGTAGGGAAGATAGATACAGGGACCTGAACTTGGCTGATCCAAAAAAAAAAAAAAAAAATTAAGCAGGATCAGTTACTATTTGGATTGGAGGGCGCCAAGAAGTCTCCAGATTATAAACCTGAGTGGGAAATTAAAAAAAAAAAAAATCCCGAAAGAAGGCATGGCTGCTGCCAAGAAAACGTGTAAGACATATCCATAAAATCACCAGAGGGAAGGGAGTTTAAACTCAAGGAGACTTGAGAATCCACTTACTTTCAAGAGGAGTGCTATAAAAGAGAAAGAATTCTCTTGACAGTTTATGGAAGGGTGGGAAAAAAAAGTCCTTCAGACTGAATTTTGTTTGCAGTTGCCTGGTATTAATGATTTTAATAACTGACTTCTTTGCCATTACATTGCTAGCAGTGGAAATGCGTCCTTTTGTATTGAATGACTATATCTCTCACAAGCTGTACATTTAAAATAGGGTTCGTTTTTGAATAGTTCTGTGGAAGTGTGCTATAGAGGATAGCATAGCCGCCACACAGTGTAGATAAAGATCAATATGTAAGAGAAAGCTCTATTAATGTGGTTTAACAGAATAACCATATGGCAGATAATGATAGCAATGAAAAACCATTTGTTACAAAAGATGCAAATGATAAACAGTGGCAGTATAACACTTACGTTTTCTTCATAAGTTTTCCAATATTATCTACATTATGAGCTTTGGAAATAATGTAGATAGTTTTAAAATCTTATGGAAAATTAGCTAGCGTGTCACACTTTTTTGTGTGTGTGGCTGTGTATGCCTTTGAGTCAACATTGACTCCTGGTGACTGCCTGAACAAGTTCCTGAGTTTTCTTGGCAAGATGTTAAAAGTGGTTTGCCATTGCCTCCTTCCTAGTTCTGAAAAGACACACCTAAGGTCGCCCAGTTGGCTTTGTGCCTAAGGCAGAGTTAGAACTCACTCTCTCTCAATTTCTAGCACACATGCAGCTGCAATGGGCTACAATGCTGCCCACTGACAAGATCATAAATTTACGTTTTGTAAGCTGCCTAGAGTCACAGAGTGAGTGGGCGGCTATATAAATTCTCAAAATAAATAAATATATTTTATATAGGCCAAGACAATTCGTCTTCACTCAATGAGGCTCAGGCAAACCAAAAGGTTGGATATGCCTGCTCAGTGATGCCCTAACCAGTACCAACTGGTTCTGTGTCACTCTTACAGAATATAAATATTGTTCATGGACTATAGATATTATATGGAAAGTGATACTTTTATGGTACCCATTTTCTATAGGTAAAATGAAAAACATGCAGTGAAGTTTTACAATACTGACTGACTGGTTGAAAGGTAAAGGTTCCCCTCACACATATGTGCTAGTTGTTCCCGACTCTAGGGGGCGATGCTCATCTCCGAGAGATGAGCCGAAGAGCCAGCACTGTCCGAAGACGTCTCCATGGTCATGTGGCTAGCATGACTGAATGCCAAAGGCGCACGGAATGCTGTTACCTTCCCATCAAAGGTGGTCCCTATTTTTCTACTTGCATTTTTTACGTCCTTTCGAACTGCTAGGTTGGCAGAAGCTGGGACAAGTAACGGGAGCTCACCCCGTTACGCAGCACTAGGGATTCGAACCGCTGAACTGCCGACCTTTCGATCGGCAAGCTCAGCGTCTTAGCTACTGAGCCACTGCGTCCCTGGAACTGTTTGGTTATTTTCATATTAATTAAGTCTCTAATTATTTGGAAGAAGAATGGGATTAATATATATGTAATAAGGGAACACTAACATTTCAAAATATTCATCTCTTCTTAGTGGGGATAGATTCAAGAAGATCGGTAGAGAAGTGAAGAAAATTAATCCAAATTTATTCAGAAAGCTATATATTCTTTATTTTCTTTGTTTTCTGTAGACAGAACCTTCTGGTGAATCCTGGTATTTAGTATAACAGTGTTATATCTTTTTAAACAATATTGTCATTAGCATTGGCAGCAAAATAATCTGTAAATCAAGCTCTGGAACAGATTGTTCTAATTGTTACATGCTTCAAGTAAAAGTATGCTGTAGAACTGGAATAAAATTCCTGTAACGTTGCCTTGAGATGATTGTTTAGAGTTTGTGCTGATGAAATAGTTGAACATTTAGGGTGATTTTAATGATTGTTCAGATTGCCCCTCAGTCTCAATTATAACAGCAAACAGAAATTACAGTGCCATGTACAAGACTAAAGACCTTTCCTATAGGACTTGTGACTGCAGTAAATATTGAAGTAGGGATTTTCTAAGTTAATTATGGTGGTATTGCAACTCAGTTCTATGACCTTAAAATGTATCCATAGTTTATATTAAGTTCTTCATAAGTACATAAACTTTATCTTGAAATGATTGCCTAGAACTGCAGTGCAGATAAGTTGCAATACAGATCAGTTGATCTGAAGGTACTGCTTGGACTTTCATTACTGTGCTTCAGAATTGTCCCTGAAACCTTTTAAAATTGTTTTAAAATGTAAGTAGCCCTTTTTCTTATGTAAGCAAAATCAGGTAAATCTCATGGATTGGTTTCTTGGATACAGGGTGGATAAAAATCAATGATTTTTTTTAAAAAATAAAAAAAAATGGATTTTTTTTTATTTAAATCGGATTTTTTTGATTTAAATCAGATTTTTTTGATTTTTATTGAATTTATTTTAATAAAAAACTTTTGGGGTAAAAATCTATCGTAAGATAGTTTTCTATTTAAGATACATAAATAATTTAGTTTATTCAGCATGAAATGAAGCTTAGTTATGTAGCACGAGGCTGTATATTCTGCAACACTGGGACTATCGGTGAGTCAACAGTGGGTCAAAGGAGTAGCAGAGATGACAGTTGCTCTTTAAAAATTATTTAAATCGAGTTGATTTAAATCAAGCCTTTTTACTAGTGATTTAAATCATGATTTAAATCGACTCGATTTAAATCAAATCCACCCTGCTTGGATACATAGTATTCTGCAAAGACTGAAATCTCATGTAGCCATTTTGAAAAACAATGACCAAGTTTGATAATGGTGAACTACATGCAGCAATTTATTATAAACCTATTATAAACAATGTTTATTGCAAACGTGAAAATGTCAGAATTGTATTTCGAATCAGGCCAATGACTATTTAGATAATACTCAAGTTATTTCAAGTAGCTAATAAAATATTTCAGGAAGCTTAGAAGTGAAGCATGGCATTCTCCATGTTATTTTTCATAGATATTATTGCTAATAAACATTGATCTATTTTCTTGGAAATTCAGAATTAACATCATTAGAGTATGTTCACAACAATGATACTAAATTAAAGGTCTTTGCAGCATTAATGCTATATCCATGTCTCTCTTTAAATAGTGCAAGTTTTAACATAGGATTGCTTTAAATTATTGATATTTCCTTTGTTATATTGTATAATTGTTTCTAAAAGATGAAAGCAGGTGTGTGTGTGTATTGCATTCATTCATTTTCACCATTCTAAATTCAGTATGTTCCTTGTTTGAAGAAAAGTTCAAACTTTCTTTGATCATTAACTAAGGCCACTATGCCTCTATATATTGAAACCAAAAGAAAAGGTGTTTTTTAAACAGCTACAAAACCATGTGCTGCGATTAGGACAGAGTTCTGCAATTAGTTCAGCATGTTGGGATGATTCATGGCAGGAATAAAAGCTAATTTGACATTTTACCATCTGAGCAATATGTGCCCATAGCTCTCATAATCATACTGGGATGAGTGATACTGACAGTTACACATTCCTAGTTCGGAATAATATGCTTCTTTGTATGTTGAAAGTAGAGGTTATAATTTTAAACAAATTTCACTGCTTATAGAACTTAAATATGCTTCAGTATCATTATGTGTTTAGTAAATGATCAGAATTTAAGAATGTTGAATCAAAATTTTGATGTCCCTAGTTGTTTTTGTTAGTTTTACTTTAATCATTGCATCCCAGTTCTTCAGTTTTTGCTAACTTCAGAAAAAGATTTCTGTGGAAAATCTTTCTACACATAATTTCTTGCTTTTCATACTAGATGGAAGGTGTCTTATATCCCACCATCCATGAAAAATAAATGAGACTTTAATAATCAAGTAACAAATGCCCTAAACTACCCATTAATTGCTTCGGAACTCTTTTAAATGCTTATAATAATCAAACTTAACAATAATTCTGATACTAGTATATGTTAGAAGGTGATCTGTATTTTGCATAAAGCAGAGAGAATTCAGTCCTGTAGTCCTGCTGTAATGAAACAGAAGCATGTATCGTAATAAACATAATTTGCTGAAGGCATTAGTCTTACAGCTGCCAACTCTGAAACTATGTTATGTGTTGTGATCTTTGTCTTAAAGATCTAAGGCAGGGGTGTCAAACTTAAGTCCTCACGTGACGTATCAGGACTCCCCCCTCCTTTGCTAAATCAGACAAGGGCGTGGCCAGCGCGTGATACATCCGGCCTGCGGGTCAGGAGTTTGACAGTCCTGATCTAAGGGATCTTTAAATAAAGGCCAAAAATAAATGTGAATTCATAGTGAATTACTCAATTACTACACATGCATTCTCTTCGTATTGAAAGAGGTTTTATGTTTATATTGCTATCTACCTACTTATATAAAAATTTCACCATTACGTGTGAGATAGGTTGGGCTGAGAGTGAAGGACAAATCCAAAATCACCCAGTCAGCTCCATAGCTGAGTGGAGCTGAGCTTGAGTTTGCCAGACCAGGCCTACTTACCTTAAAACCACTATATTATATTCTTGCATAAGAACCACATATACATATAGAAAGAGGGCAAAATGGCTCAGCAGTTAAAGATGCTGAGCTTGTGAGCTGGAAAACTGAAAGCTGGTTTCGAAATCCAAACACCATGCAACAGAGTGAGCTCCACTTACTTGCTTAGCTTCTGCCAATCTAGCATTTCAAAAGCATGCAAATGTGAGCAGATATTAAGTACCATTTCAGTGTGAAGGTAACAGCGTTCAATGTGACTCGGCATATAGTCATGCTGGCCACATGACCACGGAAGTGTCTCCGGATAACGCTGGTTCCCTCCACTAGAAAAACGGAGATCAGCACCGCCCTGTATAGTCGGATGCAACTGGACAAGGGGAAACCTTTATCTTTATGCATACAGAATAAAAATATTCCATAGCCAAAAATTACTGGAAAATGGTAAGGGCTGGACAAAGTAGGAAAAACTGGACAAATTTCAGACAAAAGAAAAAGAAAAAAGCTCTCACCAATCTGCCCCATTGAGAAATCAGCTCAGCTAAAGAGCAATTAGAAGTTAGGGCACCTGGCTATAAAGACAGGTGGTCAGCTAGATCCTGCTCAGTTATCGGTGATCTGATAGCAAACCACGTTATCTCTGAAGTTGCCAGCCACAGTTGCTGGCAAAATGTTAGGAAATTAGTCTCTAGTCCAGGGAGTCCCAAACTTGGCAACATTGAGATGTGTGGACAATTCCCAACTGGAAAATTCTGGGAGTTGGAAGTTTATGCATTTTAAAGTGCCAAGAGTGGGAACCCCTTCTCTAGTCCATGGTCACTAAACCCTGAAGCCCACCTGGGGCTTATTAAAACATTTTATAGTTAGCATATTGCAGAGCAATGCTAATATCAGATATTTCACTACTGTCAGTAGAATATCTTAAAATAAAAAAAGCCAAAAATTGTTTATTATGCCTGTACGAGTATTTTTCATCTTTAATATGGATTTTTAATTCCCAAATTTCCTGGCTGGGGAATTTGAGGAATTGATCCATGGGTCTTAAAATTACTAAGGTTGAAAAACACTGACTTATACTAAGCAACTCTTATTATTGTGTACTATTATATAGGTTGCTTTTCCTTACAATGGCTAATTATTATTTTTGTTTTTAAGGCGCAGAGCATGGAGAATGATGAATTTCCGTCAGAGGATGGGATGGATTGGTGTGGGACTGTATCTAATAGCAAGTGCTGCAGCATTTTACTATGTTTTCGAAATCAATGAGACTTACAATCGACTAGCACTGGAACACATTCAGCAACCACCAGAGAAATTTAAACAAGAAATCAGTTGGATGCATTCCTTAAAAACACGTCTTCTCTCTGTACCCTTTTGGCTATGGGCCATTATCTTTTTAATACCTTATTTGCAAATGTTCTTATTTCTTTACTCATGTACGAGGGCTGATCCTAAAACAGTGGGCTACTGCATAATTCCTATCTGCTTGGCTGTGGTTTGCAATCGTCATCAAACATTTGCAAAGGCCTCCAATCAAATCAGCAGACTGCAGCTTATTGACACGTAAGGAAATCAATGTGGCTTGCCCTCTTCCTCCTCAGCTGGTTTTTGATAAGTTGAAGATCAGTTGAATATCTGAAAAGAACTTGAAATTCTTTTTCTCAACATTAACCTCTGGACAGAGCACCCACCAACCTTCTATTTTTTTTAACAAGATGCTTTTTAACTATGGGGGTATCCTATTTGGTGAAAAGTTCTTTGAGAACAGGGGGTAACATTCTTCATATTTGCCTTACAAAGCAGAATTTCTACACTCCATCTGAAGATTTTAGAGTAAATATATATTTGAAACCCTAATTCACTGTGCATCCTTCAAAACTTCAAGTTTCCTATAAGCGAATTGCTGAAAATTGAATTTGCCTATGTTTATGTGTAAATTTTGGAATTATTATAAAAGTGGCATTTGAGACATTGTCCTTTCTCTTTGATGATGTTGCACTAAATAAAACGGGATTCCTTTTGCACATGTTTAAAAAAATATCTTTTTATTTGTTCATATATTCTATTTCTGTATTATTTCTTTAAAATGTAGTAACTACTACTTATGTTTCAAAAACAAGCTGAGGTTTAATATTCCATTTTCTAAGTACCTGAATCATTGCAAATACAGTAAAATGCATTTTATACAAAGTAACTAGAACCAAATTAAAATCCAGTCAACAGGGTATCAGCAGCAATATTCTGAATATTGACTACTGAGAACAGTATTCTCATAGAGACACTGTTGGGAAGGCTAATTGGATGCAGAAATGGGGAAACAGTGGCTCTTCAGATAATATCTAACTACAAATTCCATTTCTGATCACTTGGATAAATAGAAATTTGAGCGCAACCCCATTCTCAGTTTTTAATCCTTAAAAAATAACATACATTTGTACTACTCCAAACTACTAAAATATGTGTGCCACCCGACTCCCAATTTTGAGAGGTTACAAATAAAATATTAAAAACAAGACAAACAGTAGACAAAAGGAAAACATCTCCAGGTTATGAACAAAGAAGTAAGGCAACAGTCAAATAAAAAATAATCTTGAGGCCAGAACTGTAAACTGAGTAAGCATCTCAGAAAAAAACCCATTCTAGTTCTCATGAAGGGAGAGTGGGGGAAATACATACAGACTTTTAAGATTCTGCTATAATCTTATAGCAAAAGGTGCATTAGCATGCAGAATCTTGGTTTCCAAGCCTGTGGTCTACCTTGAAGGTCTATAACAGTCTTGATAGCCTCAGTATGTTTCCCCTCTTCCTCTGCTTGCCCTCTCTTCTACTTCTGCTCACCCACAGCTTCTAGTTTGGCTTTCCCTTTTCTAACTTGAAAGCATAGTGGGGTGAAGTATGCTAACGTGGCTAAGAGCCTTGGGAAAAAAAACTGGCTAAACTTGCTAGTTGTAAATGTAATGCCCATCAAATAGCTAGGATTAGCCAACTGAATTTAGGATGTGGATATCTATGGATGATGTGCTGGTTAGTTTTTCTCTTCTCAGCAGTTTGGAGAGCAACTGAGTGCTTCCCCCTGAGGTTTTTTTGGTAGAGGCTGGGCTGTAAAACTCTTTGGGGGTGGGGTGGGGAGTAGCTGAGTCTAGCTTTGTTGGGAGGTGAAGAGGGTATTTCTGCCTGGCAGTAGTTGCTCCAGTCAAGCATTTTCAGTGTTGCCTTTCCCAGGCAGAAAGGGTACTTTCAATTTCACTTCTTTTTTCCTTACTCATATCATGTTTTCCTGAAAATAAGACAGGGTCTTATTTTCTTTTGACCCTGCAAATAAGGGCTTGGCCTTATTATCGGGGGGTCTTATTTTGGGGATGCAGGAGGCGGAGAGTGTGGGATTGGATGTCCCGTTGCTGTCGTTGTCTCCCCTCTGTTCTTTGCGCCGGCTGAGTGGGCGAGAAGCAGGACGCAGGTCTTATCTTTCAACCTCCGTCACTTTCCTTGCCATTGTGTCCAGGAAAACACGCTGTAAAAGAAAAACTTATCGCAAGTTTGAGATGTTTGATTGAACTTGCAGGTGGCTAAGCAAGGGGCAGGAGTCCTGCCATGCCCGGCAAGGAGGGGGGGGGAAGAGAAGAGATGGCAAGGGGAGCCATGTCTCACTCCACACTTCTTGCTTCTCCCCCTCCCCACCTGCCACCTCTCTTGATAGATGGCAGGGAAGGGAAGCAGCCAGGCTGCTGCTGCCATTGGGGTGGATTCTAAATTTTTTTATTACTGGTTCTGTGGGCGTGGCTTATTTTGTGGGCATGGCTTGATGGTCATGTGACAATTCTTTAGGATTTAGCAGAGGTACTGGTCTATCAGGCTTTTAACTGCTTGCAGAGCTGTACCGGTCTACCCATTTGTTCTTGGAGCGTCCCGGTGTACCCATTTGTTTTTTGAGGCACCGGTGTACCCATTTGTTTTTCAAGCGCACTGGTCTACCACCACACTGCCTTTTAACATTGATCAGCTGTAGGGCGGCCCTTTGAAGCCCTGTGGCAAGAGTTTAAACAGTTTTTTTTTTCCTTCTAGCCATCAGCTGGGACTCGGGAGGCAGCAAATAGATTGGGGGCGAGGCCAAATAAGAGGTAAGACTAACACGGGCGGGGCGGGAGGGCCCAGCTCCCGAAAAAAGAGAACCGGTTCGGTGACATCATATCGTCACCGCTATCGGCTTGGCTGAACCGGGAGGAACCCACCACTGGTGGGGTGGGATGTGTTGGGCCGCTTGGCTAGCGCAAACAGGGAGGAGAGGGCATGTCCCCCCCTTCCCCCTCGCCTCAACTCATTTTGTTTGTGTGGCAAGCAACTAGAGGAAATTACAGGACCAGCTGCGCATGCATGTAAGTAGTTGGTGGGGGGACTTATTTTGGGGGGTTCCTTATATTATCCCATGCACTGAAAAGCCCGATTGGGCTTATTATCTGGACATGTCTTATTTTCGGGGAAACACAGGTACATACAATCTTGTTGTTGAATAATTTCAAATAACAGATACAAAACTTTATTAAATATTTTAAATATCCAAGCCTTCAATGTTTTAAAAGATAAATTTTCATAGTATAGGAACGTTAATATTTTTTTAAAAAAAGTTTTATAGTTTTCATCAGGAGTGTAGTTTTGTCCGTTTTAATGGTGGTTCATCTGTATATGCTTTGGTGTTGATATGCTTTCCTTCTTCCTCTTCATCATCATCATCTTCATCTCCATCTTCATCATCATCTACAAAAATAATAATCATCACATAGAACTATTTTTCTATTAACAAGTGCTTCCCAAAGTATCTTTCTACTTGTGATAAACCCTAAAGTATCAGTCTACTTTTGATAAACATATTTTCATAATCAAATTCAATTTTTCTCTGCTAGATCAAAGTTCAAAATACATGTAGGCAAAAGATTATACACAGAGTTGTGGTTCTATACTTTAGAAATAAGTAGATATTTCATTAGGTATAGTTAGTTGATTAGTAGTATTTTTACATTGTGTTTGAATGACAATCTGATGCACTCAGCTACTTCCCCAGAATACATCCATACTAATATACACTAGCAATGCAGGGTAACCATTCTAATTGAATAGTGAATTGGAATTATCAGTGTTCACTTAGTTATTTTTAGATGACTAGGAAGTAATCACTTTGAAATTTTTCTATATAACCTTTCAGAAAATACAGAATAAAATTTGTACTCATCTGCAGTCAGCATCACAACAGATAGAAATTCAACCTTCCCAATGCTTTTCTAACTCCCTTTATAGTTGGGCTAGTGGGGATGAATTATAAAAACCACAGAGCTAATTTTCCCAGAGCTGGCTTACTTTTGAAGGGCCCATCTAGACTTCTATGCACAGATGTAAAAATTAACCATCTGTTAACTCCCGTTCCTGTTTGAACAACACGACTAACCAGAGACATTACTGTAGTCCTCAATATTGGTTAAGAATTGATGCTGACTTTTCTGACACTCTCCTGCTGCTGTTTATTATGTCATTGCTTTGTTCCTGTTGAGCCTTAAAAAGTAGCTGATTTTCTCTGACAATTTTGAATGGCCTTTCATGAAGATATTAACGATGATATTGTGCTTGTGTTTAAAAAGGCTGAAAGCTATTGCAGAATCAGCCCCCTGACCATAGAAAGTCCTTGTGCAGATTATCAGAACATACAGTATTTACAGCGGATGAGAGAATTTCCACTTAGAGCAAGGTGGCTTCAGAGCAAGCCATGCCTGTGTGTGCCAGATTTTTACTATCAGGCAAGTAAACTGCTATTATGTTTATTGTTACTATGTTTAAGAGCATCCACTGGGACTTGGAGTAGAAAGCTGTTTTGGTGATCAGCATACACAGCAAAATCACCTGAGTCTTTCCTACATTTTAGGATATAGTTAAAGTTCACAATGACAAAAGCAACCCTTTTAATAGTCAAAATAGGACTGTGATGAAGGTATGTATTATAACCACTGTTGTTGAAGAAGGTGATAGGTTGGATAATGGGGAAAAGTCAGAGATACAAGAGTTTAACATGAGGCAGATAAATTGAATTTCACAGATGCAACATAAGCCAATGGCACTGCTTTCACAGAGGAATCAGAACAGAAGGCATAGGAATATACAGGGTATATGGTGTTATCAAATGTTGCTGAGAGATCTGAGGACTGAGAAAGGTGCATTCCCCTTCATCCTGGACACGACAAAAATCATAAACCAAAGCAACCAATACCAGTTCCAACCAATGACCAGGCATGAATCCTAAGTGACAATGATCTAATAAATCATTTTATTATTGATTTATTTGTATCCCACCTTTATTTTTACAAATACCTCAAAATAGTAAATATATCCAACATATTCTTCCTATTTTCTCAACAACAACAACCACCACCCTGTGAGGCAAGTTGGGCTGAAAGTGACGGGCTCAAAGTCACCCAATTGACTTTCATGGCCATATTTTTTCTATGATACTCTGTTTAACTCCCATGCTTTCCTTCTTTAAATTCTCTAAACAGGGCAGTTGGAAACTGAAAGTGTAAAAAAATGAATTGGCCAAAGGAGAAATTACAGCAAGGGTGCATTACTGTTGTCTTCAAAAAGGTGGCATCACATCCTTTCTCAAAGATATATGTTTATCTCATCTCTCCTTATGAGGATCTCAAGTCAATCCAACAAAACAATCACAATCATCATTTGTTCTTGGTTTTATGAATAGGCCAATCTCTTTTGTCTCTCAATAACCTGTGCATTCCTACTTTCACATGCACTCACAACTAGATAACACCAATTTATGCACCCACTGGGATCCCTATATCGAAACAACTTACTTTATTTGCAGTCAGAACCTGAAAATAATATTTAACACAACACAGTATTTAAACAAAATGATTTGGTTGAGATCTGCATATGTGGGATTGACTGGGATAGATTGTAAGGGTGACCCAGAAATATAATTTATGTCATTTTATTCTATTTTATATATTAATGTATTTAATTATATAGTAGCTTCTCTATTTTACCCTACTCTTATTTTAAATTGTTTGTATAAGATTTTATTGGCAATATGTGTTTGCACCTTGTGCTTTGATAGGGCCTATAGCTGTGTTGGCGAACCTATGGCACGCGTGCCGGAAGTGGCATGCAGAGCCATTTCTCTGGGCACGCGGAGCGATCACCCGTTGTTCTTCCGGGTTCCGCTACGGCGGTCATCTGGTCATGTGCACGGCGGTCATCTGGTCATGTGCACGGGCGTGCCGGAAATTGGAAGAGCAGCCGTCCATTGCACATGCGCACTCCAGGAAAATGATCTTCCTGTTTCCAGAGTGCGCATGCGCACCGGCCAGCTGGTCTGATTTCTGGTGCGCATGCCCACACAAAGACCAGCAATTGGCACATGTGCCAAAAGAGGGAATACCGGCGGTCACTTCCTAAGGGAGCAGAGCAAGGTAAGCCAGGGATTCCCTCCCTCCCTCCCCGCGTGAGCTACTTGCGCAGTCCCAGGCAGTCCGGACCACCCGATGCTTCCCTCAGATGCTCAGAGCCGGCAAGTGGCTCTTCTGAGAAGGGGTGGGGGAGAGGCAGGCATGCCTGTAGAGACGGGCTTTGGCTCCTCATTCTTTGGCTTCCTCGTTCTTTCCGAGGCAGCCTTTGCTGCTTCGGAAAGTGGAAAGAGAAGATGAGTCTGCGGAGAAGGAGGAGAAGGGCGCGTGGCTCTGGAATGTGCATTTCCAGGGAGGAAAGCATTTTCGGGCGGCAGCGAGGAGGAGCCCAAGCAAGGATTCAGGGTCTCAGCAGAATGAGGAGCAAAGCCCGTCTCCACCAGCGCACCTGCCTCTCCCCCCCTTCTTTTTGCCGGCCCTGAGTGCCCAAGGGAAGCGCCGGGTGGCTATTTTGAAAGGGGCAGGAGCGGTCTATGCAAGCCGCGGGATAAATGTATTGCATTTCAGGCAGCGGCTGGTCCCAGCCCGCGCTGCCACCTGAAAATCCTTTCTTCCCTGGAAATGCACATTCCAGAGCCGCCAGTCCTTCTCCTTCTCCGCAGACTCATTTTCTCTTTCCTCTTTCCGAGGCAGCAAAGGCGCAGGAGGCTTCCCAGGAAGCCCAACACCCAGCAGGGAGGAGCCCAAGCAAGGATTTGGGGTTGCAGCAGAATAAGGAGTCAAGCCCGTCTCCGCCGGGGTACCTGCCTCTCCCCCACCTTCTTCTTGCCGGCCCTGAGCACCCAAGGGAAGCGCCGGGTGGCTATTTTGAAAGGGGTGGGAGCAGTTTATACAAGCCGCGGGATAAGTGCATTGCATTTCAGGTGGCGGCTGGTCCCAGCCCATGCTGCCGCCTGAAAATTCTGTATCAGATCAATTGTTTAGTTTATTAGTTTCTCCAGATTTTTTCATTCAATCTCCGGCTGCTGAAACCTCCCCAAAGGTCCCTCCGAGTGGCCGTTGCAAACTCAGGGCCCAAGCCCCCCAACCAGCAGCCGCAGCCAGGAACCAGAGCTCCACTTTCTCCAAAAGGCTGGCAAGCTTTGAGTCCAGCCTCGGGGCCGCCGCCTCGCACCGGATTGCCTCTCCCTGCGTGTTGCTGTGGGTTTCCCCACGGAGAGGGCTGACTCCCTCAGTCAGAGGCCATGAGCGCAGCACCAGTTCGCAGCCGCTCCTCCCGGGGCAGCTCGGCTCAGCACCGTTCCTAAAGCCGGCAGCGGGTCCTCCAAGCAGAGCATGTGCCGGGCCAGGCAGCGGTCCAGCCGTGGCCGCCTTGGGGGAGAGCGCAGCGCGGCCAGGGTCCTGGCGCTCCCTTGCTGGGTCCCTCAGAATGCAGCACAGAGGAAACCCGGGATCCACTGGTAGCGCGGATGATTCCTACTTGCGGTGATTGCAGGCGCTGAGCCCGATGGCGGGAAGGGGTAGCTGGGGGAAAGGGAGCCGAATGTGGTGGGGGGGGGACGGGACGGCTGGCACAGCCACAACTCCAGCTCCTTCAGTCGCGGGTTGCAGGTGCCCTTTGGAACAGGGCTCTCCAACCTTGGCAACCTTAAGATTTGTGGACTTTGAGAACTCCCAGAGTTGCCAAGGTTGGAGAGCCCAGCCCTGCCTTGGAAAGGCCCATCGTAAGGCAGGCAGGAGGGTTCGACTCTCACGAGCCTCCGCTCCTGCAAGGCGCATTTACAGCCCAGGGGCGGAGCTGCAGTCCTGCTTGCACCATTCATTGCAAGCCTCAGCCGCCCGCCAACCGGAGAAGGCGGGTGGGCCTGGCTGGCAGCAACCACGGCCTCCTCGCGTGTTCCCCGCATCCCCTTCTGACTGGGGGAGCAGCATGGGCAAAAGGCCTCTGCTAGGATGGGTGAATGGGGCACTGGCGAGTTGGCAGGCAGATCCGAGAGCGCTGCTGCGCTTGGGAACAGCTGTCTTGCCAGGATAACTGGTTGTCCTCCGGTAAGTGGTACACTGGCCCTCTTGGAAAAAGTGGGGGCGCATGCATGGAGGGTGCACACATGCACAGTGGGGGTTGCATGTGTGCATGTGCAGTGTGCATGCGCATTAGGAGTCATGTGCGCATGCGCAAATGGGGACGCCCATTGCATTATTGGTGCTGGCACGCGAGAGCGCGTGAAGGCTCGCGCGCTCGGACTTTTGGCACGCAACGCCAAAAAGGTTTGCCATCACTGGCCTATAGACTAATCAAAGCTCATTATCATTTTAAACTGTATTTTATCCAATTCCATTTTAAATTGTTTTCATCGGATTTTAGTAATAATTTGTGTCTGGAACTCTGCACTTTGATATGGCCCAAGGGCTAATCAATAAAGTAAACTCTAAACTCACCAATTTATGTTTTCTGACATATGCTTTAGCCCTTTCATTCACAATTAATTTCTACACCTTAATTTCTTTGCATGTATTCAGCAATTCTACTCCATAAGATCAGACCAATTTCATTCAGCTCCATTACACTCTTCCTCTTTTTCTTAGAAGCACCAGCAGTCAACGTTTTTTTTTATTATGTTTTTAATGTATGGTCTTTACTTTTTCCTCCTTTTACATGGACTATCTTCCATAAGTCATTCACATGACCTTTTGGGCCCTCAGTTATTATTATTATTATTTTTATTTGATTTATATGCCGCCCTTCTCCGGAGACTCAGGGCGGCTTACAGTGCGTTAAGCAATAGCCTTCATACTTTTGTATATTTATACAAAGTCAGCTTATTGCCCCCACAAACTGGGTCCTCAATTTACCTACCTTAGAAAAGATGGAAGGCTGAGTCAACCTTGAGCCTGGCGAGATTCGATCTTACTTTAATTGCAGACAGCTGGTGTTAAATTACAGTGCTTCTGTCTGTTGAGCTAAACCAGGCTCCTCCACCCATATTTATATCCTCCATCCATGTTAGACAAGGCTTTCAGGTGACTCTCTTTAGTCTAAACTTAGAATAGAATAGAATTTTTTATTGGCCAAGTCTGATTGGACACACAAGGAATTTGTCTTGGTGCATATGCTCTCAGTGTACATAAAAGAAAAGATACGTTCATCAAGAATCATAAGGTACAACGCTTAATGATAGTCATAGGGTACAAATAAGCAATCAGGAAACAATATCAATATAAATCGTAAGGATAAAAGCAACAAAGTTACAGTCATACAGTCATAAGTGGAAGGAGATGGGTGATGGGAACAATGAGAAGATTAACAGTAGTGCAGACTTAGTAAATAGTTTGATAGTGTTGAGGGAATTATTTGTTTAGCAGAATGATGGCGTTTGGGAACTTAAGATAGAAAGATATGGTATAGGTTCCCAAGCCTTAATTTCATCCATGATGCCAAACACAACCTTCCCTGCTAACAATAAGGATAGAATAGAAAATAGAACAGAAAATAATAAGGAAAGGAAAGGAAAGGAACGGAACAGAATAGAAAAGAACAGAATAGAAGCTGGAAGGGACCTTGGAGGTCTTCTAGTCCATCCCTCTGCTCAAGCAGGGGAACCTATACCATTTGTCCTGATTTTAGGGTTAGTTTTAAAATTTTAATATTTATTTTAAATTGACAAGTTTTAAATTATGGGCCAAATTTATAAATTATTTTAACTTTATTTTTTAACCGTGATGTTTGTATAGATGTTTTTTATCTGGCTGTTCACCGCCCTGAGTCCGAAAGGAGAAGGGCGGTATAGAAATTCGAATAAATAAATAAATAAATTTCAGATATGGCGGTGGTCAGTTTGGGTACCTTTGGACCACTATTCCAAGCACAATTGTATCCCTCTTTATCGTCCCTCATAGGACGCAGTAGCCCGAACCGTCCTCCTTCGTTTGCGAGCTGAAACAGAGCAATCAGCCCCGTCCTCACAGGCGCCTCACAGAGTAGGAACGGCCGCCATAACATCAAAGGGCAAAAGCCGGTTCCAGGAATCAGCCCCTCACCTCCACGCTCATCTCGGTCTCCGGCGGCAGCGACGCTCTCCTGCTGCACCAGAGGGCCGAGCCGAGCGGCGACTTCCTCCCGCAGCCGAGATAAACCCGCCAGCAGGCCCCGCAGCTCTCCCGGAGGCTCACACCGAACACGCCACGCTCGTTTCGAGCCATCGCGGCCGGTCAGCTCGGCCTGCAACTCCATCGCTCGGTTCCCGGCGCCAACGAGGAACCAATCAGTTTTAACCTATCTTCTTCCCCCCCCCGCCCCCGCCCCCACTTTGACGAAACGGGTGGCTCTTCCAGTTCTCCTCCCCTAATTCAACGCGCATGCGTCACCCAATCCCGCTCGCTTCTCTCGTTGATACGGTACGCAGAGGAGGCGCGCATCCGACCGCGCATTGTCTCCGCCTCCGTCCGCCTTTGCGATTGGCTGCCGCCGCTCACGTGCAGGCGGCCCCGTTTGTTCTCCGCCGCGACTTGTTTTTCCGCTTCCGGTATGCGCGGAAGCGTCGCCTGGCGGCGGTTTCGCGTTTTCCCGCCTTTTCCTCCTCCGCCTCGGGCTTTTTACGACGGAGCGAGGGAAGCAGCGACGTCAGGGAGATGGAAAGGGCGACGGCCGCTTCTGGCGCTCCTGAAGAGGACGGCGGCAACGACAGCAACACTTCCACGGGAGGCGAAGAGGGCGACAGGAACGCCGAGGAGCCCGTCGTGTCGCTAGCCGAGGTGCTGGCCGAAAGCGAGGAGTTGGAGAACGAAGCGCGCGCCGTGCTGGGCGGGAGCGATCACGAGCGCTGCAGTTACTCTCAGGTGAGAGGCGTAGGCGGGCCTGGCTGAGCCCCGCGGGGTGGAAGGGCTGCTTCTCTCAGGCGCTTCAGAAAGCTTCCTCAACCTCTTGCCTTCGGTTATGTCAGACTTCCTTTTTCTCCGCCCGTTCAGCCCCGTCAGATTATGGAAGATTGCCTGGACAAATCCCTGCATACACAGGTAGCCCTCGGCTTACAACAGTTCACTTAGTGACGGTTCAGAGTTACAACGGCACTGAAAAAAGTGACTTACGACCGTTTTTCACACTTATGACCGTTGCAGCACACACACACACCCCGCCCATGATCACGTGATTTACATTTGGATGATTGACAACTGATTCACGTTTATGACGGTGGCAGTGTCCCCGGGGTCGTGTGCTCCCTTTTTGTGACCTTCCGACAAGCAAAGTCAACGGGGAAACCAGATTCATTTAACAACAGTGTTACTAATTTAACAACTGTTGGGAGAAAAGTCGTAAAATGGGACAAACTCCCTGAACAAATGTTTCGCTTAGCAACAAAAATTTTGGACTCAATTGTGGTCGTAACTTGAGGACTACCTGTATTGCCATTGCTTATGAGAATTGCAAAATTTAGGAAGTGGTTTACCATTGCCTATTTTTTTAGGGCTGAGAAGGAATGACTTCTCAGGTCACCCAACTGGCTGGTGTTTAAGGCAAGATTAGAATTCATAACCTTCCAATTTCTAATCTGGTGCCTTGATACTACACAAAATTGGCTCTTTAAAGCTGAGATCAGCCAAGCAGATCTTGTCACCTTTTTGATCCGTAGGTTTTGTTTTTTGTATAGCTCCTTAGCAATAAGAATAGAAGCTGACTTATCTCTGTCAGTTAACCAATTTCCATGGAATTACTACTTGCTGTTGATCTACTTGTCTAAATGGAAATTAGTTATAATCACTTATTCCTGGTTGAGTTAGATGTAAGATAATTATAATGACCTATGTCAGGGTTCAGCAACCCGCGGCTCCGGAGTCACATGTGGCTCTTTGGGCCCTTTGCTGTGGCTCCCTGTCAGATGATCCACCACTGGCTGGCCCCACCCCACCCCTCGCCCTTCCCTCCCAGTCACTCCTCACACCTGGCCTGAGAAGGTAAGGGTGACGGTGGGGGAAGGAGAAGCGGCCAGGGCAGAGACAGGGAGATACAGAGAGAGGGGCAGAGAGAGAGGGAGAGGGGGGGGGGAGAAAGGGAGGGGAAAGAGAGATGTCAAAAGGATTTTGTGGTTCCCAGTGTTTTTTAACAACTGGTTCTCTGTCCTAATGACCGGGTGGGTAGGCGTGGCTGGGGAGGGTGTCATGTGACTGGTGGAAGTGAGTAACATCAAGTTGGCCACGCTCACCCAGGTTTTGTGGCTTCTGATGTTTTCTGTGGGAAACGGGTCCAAATGGCTCTTTAAGTATTTAAGGTTGCAGACCCCTGACCTATGTTTTAGGGCATGGTTACTTAAGAATCCTATTAGATTTCCAAACAGAACAAAACTATTTAACTTCTAGGATTCAGATTTGTTGTCTTAGGGTTTCTCTGCAAAGGCAAAATCTTAACGTAGTATTTTCCCTAACTGTTTTCATTATTATGCTGTTATCTTTCCAGGGTGCTGTAAAGAGGCAGGCGTTGTATGCCTGCAGTACATGTACACCATCAGGTGAAGAACCAGCAGGGATTTGTTTAGCATGCAGCTATGAATGCCATGGCTCTCACAAGTTATTTGAGTTATATACAAAAAGGTAAGCCAAGAGAAAATAAATTCATTTTTAGGCCAATTTATCAATCTTCAACTATTTAAACTGGGACTGGAACTTTGATCACTAAGCGATGTCATTATGTGAAGCATTGCATGACTGTACTGTTTGGTGATGGCAGTTCCAGTAGATCCAGTAATATTGGTTAGGCTAGGACAGTACTATTGTTAGATGAGAATCTCACACTTCTGCCCTGCGACACTCACCTTCATTTCAACTCGCCCCACCAGCCAATCTTGCCCCCTCATTCTCCCCTTGTGGGTGCCCCATCCTCCATTTCATATCTTTGATGTCGCCATGGCCTACAAGTGACCATTGCTATCTTTCTTCTGTTGGTGGCCAGATACTGGGTGAAAGTACAGCCTGGGATGCACACAATGAGGGAAGGAAGAGGTGGTGGCAGTTCCCTGGGCGAAGGTGGAGGCTGTGTGGGGTGTGCTGTTTGGATCGAGGAAAGAGGAGAGAGACACGTGCTTCTGGGAGGCGTAGCAAACAATCTGCAGCTTGGGTTGCAAATGCTCCTTGAAAATGGGCCTGCAGACTTTAGCAAGAGGTAGAAGAAAACCCAGTGCTTACCCGCAGGCTGTTTGTTTGCTCTTAACCCAACTTTCTTCCTGAAAAGTTGATTAAATTCATGGGACAGAGAGAATGCTCTACCTGGGAGTCAGGCATGCTGAATGCTTCAACCAATCAGAAGGCTAATACTACATGATGCCAACCAATCAAGGAGAGATGCCTGAGAACTCTCCCCAACTCCGCTGCTTGTTTATATGAGAGCAACCAGTGGATAAGCATTTGAGTTAGGCATTGCAGAGAAGAAAACAATATATTCCCAACACAAAATTTCTGCATCAGCCCTGCATTCTCTGTTGTGTTTTGTATCTTTCCTTGTTCCTGCTTGTAAATGTCTTTTCTTTGCAAATACTGACTAGGAAAAATGAGTCCCCCTCACATGTGTGTGGCAAAAGCAGTGCTAGGACCCTCAAGGAAGATGGGGCACAAATACAGGCTTTTAAGCCTTGATTGAGGCATATAAGAGGAGTTTAACTGTTTGGTATCTTAGCACCGACAAAAATACCCATACTGCCACATGCAGTAGGCCTGGGATATCTAAGCAACCCAGTTCCTCGTGTGTGGCATCCGGAGCTAGTAGCCCTAGTAGTGGTAGATTGGTCCCTGAGCCACAAGTATTGCTAGCCAAGGCACTATAGCATATGCTCTGAACCAGCATGTATAGGTGGGTTCTATTGGAGCAATCCTCAGCACATGTACTAGTGGCCGTGTGGTGAGAAGGGCGTGGACCTATGTTTTAAAGCCTTGATTGGACTTGCTTCCTTGGCAGGTTTGTGGTTTTGGAGCCTATCTGCTTTCACCAGGATTCTGAAGGGCTTCTGTTCCCATGCAAGAGGTCCCTTGCAACTTAGATATCCTAGTCCCCACAAAGATGCCCACATACTGCCATATGCACAGAGTGCTGGGATTCCTAGACAGAGAGGCTCTTCTTGTATGCCTCAATCAAGGCTTAAAAGGCTGTAGCTGTGCCCCATCTTCCTTGCAGCCTCTGTCACACGTACAGAGGGATTCCTTCATTTTTCCTTTTTTGGTATATGCAAAGAAAAGACTGAGCTTTTACAAGAGGAACAAGGAAGGATACAAAACACAGAGTGCAGGAAATAAAGACACCGAAAAGGGCAGAGATGGAGGGAAAATAGGTGGGAGTTGAAGTGAATTTTGATCATGTGACCTTGGGGATGCTGCAATAAATGGTTGCTGAACAAATGGTTGTTAGTCAAGGATTGCCTATAGAATACAATTGCATTTTTTAAAAGAAGGAAAAACATTCCTTTGTGACACTTCATTAGAAAGAGGTTTATTGGACTCAAGCTATTATTACATTAGTGTATTTTAAAAGTGATATGCTTGCGTAAATAAATATACAGTAATTTTCAAATTCCTAATTTCCAGCTAGAGAAGAGTAGAGTGCTACTTCACTACAAAATATAACAACAATATATAGTTCTATGGGATAAAGAGTTATTTTGAAATCTTCATGTTGTCTTTAGGACTATCACTGAAACTAGCTGTGTAAATACTTATATAGAAATTTATTTTGGTTTGAAAAAATGATCAGTGAATACAATTTAATAATTACATTTTAATAATTTTTTGAAGATGTTTTCCATCCATTATGAATATAAATAGCTTGCATTAAGTGTAGGAAGATCATGACACTTAACATTTTTCAGAATTTGCCCTTTCCCCCCTTTCCAGAAACTTCCGTTGTGATTGTGGAAACAGCAAGTTCAAAAATCTGAAATGCAAACTACATCCTGTAAGTATAAATATTGCATTTACATTTGAGAGAAAAGTGGTAGCCAAACTTATTATATATCTAGCTTCAATTATACATTATGAAAGTTATTATGTAATGAAAATTTTTGGTACTAAGAAGTCCAGTTGGAGGTTGAAAGAGGAATCCAAGCAGCTGGAATTACTGCCAAAACAAGAGCATAGAGATGACCTTTTCATAGTCCCTCATGTTTTAGTCACTTCACAAATTGACTGTTGCAGTGACTATACATGGGACTGCCCTTGAAGTCCCTGCACATAATTGAGAAATTATGTGCATGCCTTGGTTCATTCATATAACAGTCACTTCATGATCTGCACTGGTTGTTACTTGATTTCTGGGACTAGGGACTTCTCCCAATAATTTTTGCTAGCCCAGTTAAAACAGGAAAAAATGGACTCCTTCCAGATTTCCTCTTTCAAAGAATCTATAGAATTCCTTTTTTCTCTCTCTCTCTGGAATAGATCCTCTAGAGAATTGCCTTGCCTTACATTACTGGAAATTTCAACAGGCCTTTTAGGGGGAGTTGGTTTCAGGATTCTTCCAACATAACAGTATAAATTGTATGGGTTTATGAGTCAACTGCATAGGAATAACACATTATGTAATATTTATTGTTTGGCCCCTTGCTTTGTTGTTTAAACATGTTAATGTGCGGTAGAATTGTAAGCCACTCAGTTAAATGACAATTAAGCAGAATATAAACCTAGTAAAATAGTAAATAAAAGCAAATTCAGAAAGTTGCTACATGTTCTTCTTAATATATACTACAGTTGACTTTGGGCCAGTCATCTCTCTCAGCCCAACCCACCTCACAGGGTTGTTATGTGGAGGAAATAAGAAGAGGAAGGTATGTTGTATACGTTCGCCACCTTGAGTTATTTATGAAAATAGTAAAGGCATGCCTGCTAACTTTAGTTGGAAGACCTAATTTTATTTTATACAGTATTTGAATCTGCCTTCATCAAGGGCAGTTGATAAGTGTTACTGCGTTTTTCTGTGATGATTGAAGTAGGATGCACAGAGTAAATAAAATGCTTTTTATATAATTTCTTTTTGATTTATCTTCTATTTTAGGACAAGGCAACAGTGAATCCAGCAAATAAATATAATGATAATTTCTATGGATTATATTGTGTGTGCAAAAGACCTTACCCAGATCCTGATGATGAGGTAAATTGTATTGTAGTGATATATAAAAGATGCAAATGCATTTTGTGCAAATGCAGTTCATAAGATGTAATAAATTTATCATCTTTTCTTTTTCAAGTGAATTTTACATGTACAATTGAAAAATAAAAGAAGACCACTAGTTTTATGTTTTGGATATTAGAAATAAGCCATTCTTAGTCAAATTAGATCCAGAAGGCTAGCTTATCTTAAAATATATTTCCTGTTCTGAGGCTGTAATAAAAAAAGGCAGATATTATCTCTGAAATTTTATTTTCATTAAATTGATCATGCAGTGGTTTGAATGTCTGTTACGTGTACTTTGTCCCAGGAATATTGAATAAACTGCATGTGATACAGAAATGTATGTCTTTTTCCCAATCTGTGTAACTGTGAAAAATTATTTTAAAAATGTAGAACTGTTCTAAATACATTTCAAAACAATATAAATGCAAGTATTTACAAGGTTAGAAAGAAACAGTTGTTAGAGCTTTTTTTGTTCTGGTGAGTTCGGTTTGCTCCTCATTCACTTTTTCAGTGTTGAAAGTTAAAAGTGGAATGAATATTTTTCAGTGACATGGAACTTTAATGGTATAAAACAAATCCCTTTGAACTGTATGTAGAAATGTTTTGACAGTATAGTTAATTATATATGAGAACGCCAGCTCAAGCTAAACTAGCATTACATGTTCCCTGTACTTTCAAAGACCCCTTTCTGAAGGGTTGAAATAAAAGTACATTTTGTAATATGACTCTACCTTTAGATTCCAGATGAAATGATCCAGTGCATAGTTTGTGAAGATTGGTTTCATGGAAGGGTAAGCAAATGTATTAAGATGTTTCGGAGAATAGTTGCATAGATCCTTAAATAAGTGAATTCAAAATTTCAAACCCATTTAAGGTGTCCTTATATCTGTGTTAAAAGCAATTTGGATGCTGAAATCTTTTTTTTTGAGAAACATTTTAATAATATGAACTACAGCCTTTTCAAGGAATGATAGCTTTGAAAATAAAGCTAATACTTCAGCAAGTGTCTGTAGTTCCTGCCATATATACTTCACGGACTATAGAAACTTAAGAGGAAAAACATGAGCTCTAATTCTGTGATATTAGATCCATTGTTCTAATTTTAATGAAGAGTCTTGCTGTTTGTCAGTAATACACAATTGTTTTGCATTTCCATTTGCTTTTTCTCAGCATCTTGGTGTTGTCCCTCCAGATAGTGGGGATTTTCATGAAATGGTCTGTCAGTCTTGCATGGATCATTGCCCTTTCTTGTGGGCATATGCCTCGCGGTTAGCAGGTAAGAAAAAATAACAGTTGTTGTTGAGCTAATGTTTAATCCTGACCAAGTATCACAACTCAGTGAAATGGCAGCTTTTGATTAGATGTTTTAATTTAATTGGCATGAGTGAAATATGTATTCATCTTGTTGTATTTTATTAATTTAATGCATTGTTTGGGATAAGTTTTTTATGATATGCAGTCTAGAATTTTAACACTAAACATGCCTGCATGGAAAAGAATTCTGTCCTGAAAGTTAAATCTGACCTATTAGTCAGCTGCTTACTGGGGGTTGAAATGAATGAATTCTTGGCAAATGCCAAGAAACTGTATTCAACTGATAAATATTTTGCTCAAACTTCTATTTTATCTTCTGTAAAAAAAAAATATGAAAATTTTTAGTTTATTATTAGAGAGATACAATCTTATAAGAAGTTGTATTCTCACCTAATGGTATCTTCAGTTATGTGAAAAAGAAATTGCACCCTCTGAGTTCTATGGTTTTACATATCAGGACATAGTAAAAATCATCTGATCCTTAGTAGTTCTTAAAGGTAGGTAAATACAGCCTCAGATGAACAACAACACATGACATATTACACCATGTCATTTAGTTTACAAAAAGAAAGCCAAAATAGGGAAGCCATGTGTAAAAAACTAAGCATGCCTTATGATTCAATAGCTTGTAGAACCACCTGTAGCAGCAATAATTTGAAGTACTGTAATTGTTTTCTGTATGTGTACTTTCTTTTTCATATTTTCATTTCTTACTTGTGTAACTGTTGATTGGATTGATGGAAGAAAATAAAGATAAGCATTTGGACTTCTCTAGTGTGGTCCAGCAGTGGTGACTTGTGCATAAAATATGTACAGATAGTCCTCAGTCTTTAAAATTCAACAAAATATATATTATTGAAGGAATACTTTTTTCCAAGGCCCTGTGATATTAGATCACAGCTGTAATAGGTTTTACTGGTTTCTGATGGTTCTGAATATAGTCACCTAGTACCATGTTGTAAAATATAAGGTACAGGTTTTTTAAATGATACATTTAAAATTGTATTCAAAAATTACATTTCAAGTTAATTAGCTGTGTTTCGACAATTTTGCAAGAGAACGACCTGGAAACTTAGCTTAAATATTATTACTGCATAAAACATGAGAAGATGAAGAGGTGAGATAGTTGTCCAATACAGTAGCTTAGTTGTCATTGGGAAAAAATTATATTGTATTGAGAAATCGGACGCTATTATTAAAATAAAAGCATGAAAAAATGAGATGCAATTAAACAAAGCACCAGTTTCATTATTTTTCAAAATGTCAGTGAAGATGATACAGGTACTTGAGGACATAGCATTGAACTAATGCTTTATTTCTTTGGAATATAAAATTTTATATAACTAAATTTGTCCTGCCACCATGACATACTTTTCTTGTAACTTTCACAAACAATTTTTTCACAAAAGCATTGGAATTCTGGGTGTTTTCTCCATTAGTAGCAAGGCATAAAATACAGCAATACTGAAAAGTTTATGAACTCTTGATTTTTCAATATTTTTGCATAAATATAACCAATAGAATATAAATATAACCAATGTAAAAGTTATTGCTGGAGTTGATAATGATTTGTGTTGCACAAGTCCTAAAACTAGATAAAGAGGACCCAATTAAACAAGTTCTTGTTCATTGATCTATTGAGAAAAATGATCAAAAACTATATATTTGGATATTCAAATATTTGGATATACAATACTGAAAATTCAAAAGGTTTTGCAAACTTTTAAACATCACTGTATAAGATCAGTAGCCTACACTTCATTAAAAGCTATGGATAATTATTTGTAATTGCAATACTTTTATTAAAATGTCTTTTTGGAGATAGAATATAAATGATCATGTTATCATGTGACGTTATCTTTCCTTTTTAGCAATGTTAGCTTTATTGTTTACATTGATATTTAATTATGCAAAGATATTTTAGCTGAGGTAGAAATGGCACTTACTATACTCATTCTAATAGATCTAGGTGTCTATTTCTTGTAGTTCCAACTGTGACCAAAGTTATTGCTGCAGCTGATAATGGAACTCTGCTGAATGTTGAAGAAACTGAAGTAATCAAAAATGAAAACAGTGTAGATCAAATGAAGACTGAAGATAAAATAATACAAATTAATGAACCTTCTACCAGTTCTGGCAATGAATGTTCAGTGGTAAGTCCTGTATTTCTTGTTTTACACTCTATTATTAAAAGCTGTAATTCTGGACTCATGATATTCCTGGCTGCATCATTGCCATAATACGTATTAAGTAGAGTCATGTAGCCTAATCTAATTTATGAGAGTTTGGTGCAGTAGTTAAGGCACTGGACTAGAAACTGTGAGATCATGAATTCTAATCCTGCCTTAGGCATGAAGCCAGCTGCGTGACTTTGAGCCAGTCTCTCAGCCCTAAGGAAGCAGGCTGTGGCAAATGACTGCTGGAAATCTTGCCAAGAAAACTGCAAGGACTAATTCAGTCAGTCACCAGGAGGCAAGACTGACTTGAAGGCATCCCCTCCAAGTCTAATTTACATAAATCCATGATGCTGCCTGCAAGAGAATAGAACTACAGCATTTGGGTTTATAAATCCCACCCCATACATTATTATCTTTTTTTTGTTTTCATGCATTTAATTTAAAACTACGAGAAGGTTTCTGTTAAGCATAGTTAGCTGAATACATTTACCAAACTCTTCTGATGTAGAATATGCCTTTCTGAAATTAATTATATCAACGTGCAAGTGACGAACTGCATACTATTGTACTGTAAACAATAAATCTGGAGGACTAAACAGACTGGAATGAGCAAAGAATAAGGAAATTAAATAACATTGGTAACTTTTATTTTATTGCAGCCAGTTAAAAAGGAAATACTGGTATGTAAGCTGCAAGAACTTCAAGCCAAGCAGAACCTGAAGCAAAATACAGCCACCTTCTGGCCACACAACTGGCGAAGCAAATTGTGCACCTGCAAAGAATGTGTGGTATGCATTTTTAAATTGCCGTATCTATATGTGTTCTAGAAGAATCTAGTTCTTTTCTGAAACAATTGCATGTTGCCCTGGTTGAATTTATTCTTTTTTCAACACTTAAGTAGCAATAGCACTTAGACTTATATATCACTTCATAGTGTGTTACAGCCCTTTCTAAGCAGTTTACAGAATTGGCATATTGCCCCCAACAATCTGGGTCCTCATTTTACCAAGATATTTTTAAATGCCACCTTTAATATTTTTTATAAATAACGCTTTATTCATTTTCTGTCCTGCAACTTTACTATACTCTGCTATTATTTTCATTAACTTGGGTCCAGATTCTTGAGGTTCTTATAAAATAAAATACCAGGTCATCTGTGAATGCCTGTAGCTTATATTTTTCTGTTTTTATTTCCATTCTTTTTATTTCTGAGTCTTGTCTAATATTTTTATTTAGTACTTCCAATATTAATATAAATAGTAGTGGGGGACAGCGGACATCCTTGTCTCATGCCTTTTCTTATGTTAAAGTTTTCGGTCATATCCCCATTAACCATCACCTTTGCCATTTGCTTGGAATATATTGCCTCAGTCATGTTAACAAATTTCTCCCCAAAGTCCATATATTTTAATTGTAATAACATAAATTGCCATCAAATGCTTTCTGTGCATCTAAGAATATTAACGCCATTTGTTTTTTAAGATGCATTTCATAATAATACAACGTGTTCAAAATAATTCTCATATTATTCTTAATTTGCCTTTTAGGTAAAAATCCATTCTAATCTGAGTGCATAAATTCATTCAAGAATCTTTTTAATTTTTCTGCAATTATTGAGGCATATATTTTGTAGTCTGCATTTAATAGTGATATTGGCCTATAATTTTTTATCTGCATTAAATCTGATTCTTCTTTTGATATTAGAGTTATATTTGCTTCCATCCAGGTGTTTGGAATTTTGGCCTTTAACAGTACTTCATTATAAACGTCCAACATTGGCAGATCCAAAGTCCTGTAAACATTTCTAAAGTTCTGCCGGTAGTCCATCTGGTCCTGGTGTTTTATTATTTTTTTTGTCTCTTGTTCGCCTCTATTAGTTCCATCATTGTTATCTTTTCATTTACTGTTTCAGGTAATTTGGGTAATTCAGCTTTCTCCAAATATTGTTTTATTTTTTCTTCTGACACCTCTTGATTATACAGTTTTTCATAGTAATTCTGGATTTTTTTAGTTTCATTTTGATAATGAAGGATTCCCTTAGATGAAAAGGGAACAAGCTGTGTATCAATTTCTTCACTTCTCCTTTTTCAATTTATATGCTAACCATCTTCCTGGTTTGTTGGCATTTTCAAAGTAGTTTTATTTTGCTCTTAATCTTTTGTGCTAGTTATCCTGTTTCATTAAATTGAGTTTATGTTTTATCAGTTCTTTTTTTTTTATATTTCTTTTTTGCGGTTCTTTCTGTAACTCTGTTTCAAGTCTTTTGTGTTCTGCTAATCTCTTGTGCTTGCCTCTTTTCCTTGTTCTTTTTTGTTGTATAGGTGATCACTAATCCCCGGATATACGCTTTTGCTGTATCCCATACATTTTGTGGTGAAGTCTCTTCTTTTTTATTCTCCTTGAAAAAAAAGTCCATTTTTTTCTCCATTATTTGTATAAACTTTTAACATTTAATATTGCTTGATTCAACGTCCATCTCACTTTTTTCCTTTGACCTTTCCTTTTTTATTTTCATTGGGTTATGATCTGCCCATACATTTGTTTCAATTTCTATCTCTTATACATTTGTTCTTAATTCCAGTGTCATCCATATCATATCTATCCTTGACCATGATTGATGTCTAACTGAGTAAAATGTATATTAGTTTTTCTCTTAAATTCATTTCTCTCCATGTATCTTGAAGTGATAGTTCTTCTATCATTTTAAAGAAGATCCTAGGGAGTGTTTTCCGTGCCTTTTTACCTATTTTCCTGCTTCTATAGTCCAATTTTGCATCCACAATTGCATTAAAGTCCCCTAACACACAAATATTTTCATAATCCATTTCAGTTATTTTCATGTGGAGTTTTTTATAGAATTCTTCTTGTTTATTATTTGGTGCATATATTGCTATCAAAGTACTTGTTTTTGCTTTACCATCAAAATTCTCCCTTTGCATATATTGCTATCAAAGTACTTGTTTTTGCTTTACCATCAAAATTCTCCCTTCTTCATCTGTGTATATTTGATTGGCATTTATTGTTTCCTTTATATATAAGACCACCCCCCTTTTCTTTTGTTGTGCTAATGAAAAATATACTTTTCCTATTTTGGGGTATTCTAAAAGCTTACTATGTTGTTTTTGAATGTGGAGACAAATTAAGTCAAATTTTAATTTTTGTAATTTTGTGAAAATGTTTTTCCTTTTCTTTGGTGAATTCTATCCATTTATGTTAATTGATAGCATCTTTATTTTTTCCATCTTCTCACTTGTATATAGGTCATATTGTCCTAGTTGATCTTATTTTTCTCTGTTCCTTTACTTTTGCTCCTTCTTGTTCTGCTCGTTCTGTTTTCTTGGACTCATTTTCTTCTTGCCATGTAGTCTTTTCCACAATTACTAGTTCTCTTTGTTCTTTACATTCTACTTCCTCTCCCCTTCCCTGTTCTTCAGAAGCTCCAAATTGATATTCATAAAATTCATGTGCTTTATCTAATGAGTCCAATCTATATCTTTTTTCATTCCAAGTTACCAAAATTCCCTCTGGTATCAGCCATCTGAAATTTACATTGTATTTAATCAGCTCACCTGTCAAGAATTGATATTGTCTTCTTAGATTTCTTACTCTTCTTGGCACCTGTTTCAACACCACAATTTTTTTGCCTTTATCCTGCAGAGGTTCATCTCTCACTTTTTTAAGTATTTCAACTTTTAACATCTTCTTGACAAATCTGACATGAACTTCTCTTGGGAGATTATGTCTTCTCCCGTAGGTTGTGTGTATTCAAAATATTTCATCAATCTCTGCATTTCTTGTTTTGTAATTTGTAAAGCATTTGCCAGCAATTCTGTCATTATATCAAGTAGGTCTTCTCCTTTTTTCTCTTCTATGTTTTGGAATCTCAGAAAGTAAGCGGTCTTTTCCATTTGCAACGAAATCACGTCTTCCTCCAACTCTTTATTTTCTGTGTAAGCCTTTGGTTCATATCTTCCATTTTTTTCTTGGCTTGTTCTGATTTTTATTCTATTACCTGAATCCTTTGTTAATTTTTTTCTGTCATCTGTTGGAAATTCCCTGTTTTTTCATTCATATTGCGTATCATTTCTTTCACCTCTCCCAGCTCTTCACCTCGTCATGATTCTTTGTTATCGTGTCTTGTAAAGATTGGAACATCATCAACACATCTTTTTGAAATGAATTTGATTTCTCTGCTTATAACATACTCTCTGTTGATCTTTGATTTGATGGACTTGCTGCAGATGATAGTGCAGATGTTGTTTTCTTTCCTAATTTGCTTAAATTTGGATTTCTGCTTGTATCTACTTATGTCTATTAACCAGGTTAATTGGGACCTTAATTTAGTAAAATACACCATAATAATCTACTAGCCCCCAACTAACTTCTAACCCCCCCATTTTAAACCAAGGAAAGAATATTCTTTTCCAATTTCACACCAGTATCACAATCTTATAATTTTTACAATCCACCAGATCCATCCAGAAACTAATCCTTTAGTAGCATAGAATACTTCTTTGCAGATAATTATTTTCCTTTCTTCCTCTTCCTCCTCCTCCTCCTCCTCCTCCTCTTCCTCTTCCTCTTCTTCTTCTTCTTCTTCTTCTTCTTCTTCTTCTTCTTCTTCTTCTTCTTCTTCTCCTCTCAATAACTAGTATCTGTAATCCACAAGTCCCATCAATACTCCAGCATGTTGCAACTCTCAGTTCACTGTTCAAAGTTCACAGCTGCTTCCTTCTTCTCTCATTTGTAATCCACAAGGCCCAACAATTCCCCAAGACTTTATAGATCTCAATTCACTGTTGAATATATTTATAGTCCCAAAGTGTTAAAATGTGGAAAAATACAAAACCCATAGTTTGAAATATCCAGCCAGCCCAAAAACCAAAAAAAAAAAAAAAAAAGGAAGAAGGAGAAAAAAATAAACGAGAGAAATCATCCATTTGGTCTCAAAACAGATCCAAGGTATTTCTTTTCTTCACTTTGCTAGCTCAATTTGTAATCCACGATAGTTCAAAGCATAGATCAAAGCCTTTCAATATTTTCACCCTGTATCTCCAAACTTTCAAAGAAAGCAATATGCAGGTGCTATTTTGTTTCAAACTCCTTTCCAAAAATAACCACCCTAGTCATAACAGATTTCTTCACTTTTAGTATCCTCTCCAATCTTTAGGTGTCATGCTTACTTAATTTTCCATTTTTACTACAGTATTTATTTTGAAGAAAAAAGAACTTTTTAAGGTCCATCCAAACTTAATAATCATAAAATCAGTTCCAATTTTTTTAATGTAGGGAAAAAACCAGAAAACCAGTCCAACCTTTCCATAAGTTTTGACCCATGCCTCTTATTTTTTAAATGAAGTCAGGATTTTTCCGGATCTGTCAAAGGCTCAAAATCTTAGTTGCCGCTAAGCTTTGGGGAGCGGGAAACGGAACAAAAGGCCTCCCCCTTTTGAGTCACACTCTCAAAGGAAAGAAAAGTTCTTGGGGAAAATTCCTCCCAGAGGTTAGAAAAAAGAAAATCTCTCCCAGATCACTCACGCTGCTGCTCAGTCCTTCTCAGTCACTTCTTCCATTGGGCTGTCCCAACTTGTTCTGGCTGTAATGGCCGTCTTCTTTTCTTGCCGGTTTGAGGGCTTCCTCCGGACCTGCAAAGAGTTGCTTTCCTCCTTGCGATCCACAGAGTGTCCCTTCTACTTCGTCACCTCTCCGGGGTGAGTTTTGGCCCCCTATCTTAGCGGAACCCCACTAAGTCATTACCATACTGCTGCGACGTCAGCCCTGCCCTTCCTATTTTTTATAAATAACTCAAAGTGGCAAACATACCTAATCCTCTTTCCTCCTATTTTCCCAGCAAGAACAAACTTGTGAGGTGGGCTGGGCTGGGCTGAGAGAATGACTGTTCCAAGTCACCCAGCTGGCTTTCATGCCTAAGGAGGAACTAGAACTCACCATCTCCTGGTTTCTAGGTCTTCTTAACAGTAGATCAAACTGGCTGTCAGTTCATCTTAAATTCATTGTCTTCCATTTTGGAAGATAAAAAAAAAAACTGGCAGTAAAAATTGAAACATTGTAAAAGATTTCACTCAGGAAGGTATTTTTTTATAATTAGAATATTAGAAAAATATGAGTTTGTGTTTTGTTCTCTTATTTGAAAATCTACATAGAGATTTGTCCATATAAAATTTTATGAAAAGATGGGGGAAAAGAAGTATTGTGTGTAGGGATTTTTGATGTTGCTATTACAATTCACACCTTTATTGTAGAGCCACAATTGTATGTTTCTCCATTCATAAGCTTGGTGGAGTTGTTTTGAATTGCTTAGGTTCCTTTGTCACAAAGCTATTTTTCCCCATCTCACTTTATTTTTACACTATTTTTAAAGACATTTATATGCTCTAATATATGCAGTTGCTGCTTTTTAAAGAAATGAATTTGAAAGTAGTTTGCTTATATTTTGGATTCATGAAATATTTTATAGATACACATGTACAGTGAAAATAATTTCTTAATTCTTCAGAAAATGTATTCTGATATGGAAGTCCCATTCCTAACAGATGAATGTGATACTGTCCTGGCTTATGAAAATAAAGGGACAAATGACCAAGAAGCAGATAGAAGAGATCCTCTAATGGACACACTTAACAGTATGAACAGAGTACAGCAGGTAGAACTCATCTGTGGTAAGTAATTAAAATAAAAGAGAACTAATCTGAAAAGGATATCACTTTCTTTATGCAAACAGAATTGGGAGAGAGGGCTTTCTCCAGTGTGATGGTAATGGACTCCAGGCATGGGATGACTTGAGTCAGAAGAAAATTCCATTGACTTTACTGAGTCTTATGCTTGAATAAGAATTTATAGGATTATCCCTGTAGAATACTATCAGCAGCAATCTCAGAAATGTTTAAATTAGATAAGCTAAGTGTCCTTGAGCAATAAGGAGTATGGATATTTTTTTATTATTTATAAACCAATAACCCAGGCTTATATTGTGACAAATATAATATATATGTGACACACATAATATATATATATTCTAAATATAAAAAATAGAAGGAGATAGAGGGGCAGTATAACTGTAGTATAATTAAAGCAGTACTTGGTGGTGGGGACGACACATTTTTAAAGCTGATTGACAAGCCGCAAAGGATAAAAAAAACTTCTAATATGAATACACAGCTACAATAAAATAATTTTTTATTTGGTTCAGAATACAATGATTTGAAAACAGAATTGACAGACTATTTGAGAAGATTTGCAAATGAAGGAACAGTAAGTATACAACATCATCTAATACTATTATGAAAATATTCTTTGAATAATTTAAAAATATAGCAGTTGTTATCTGTGCCACTTTGATAGACTGCATATATGGATTTTCAGCTGTATAAGATAGGTGAGACTGTTAGGGCTGTTTTTCATATTTGAGAAGTAAATATGCTACTGACATCCCCATATAATTTATATTAATAATGAACACCTGGAACATGCGAGTCTTAAGATCTTTAGATAAACTGCTTCTTCAGTGCTTTCCCCTCTTTTCCTCCTTAAGAGCCAAGCAGGAATGTACTACCAGTAATCTAGAGCATGGATAAAATGTATCCCAAGGTAGGCAAAAAGATTAGATTTCCAACTCAATACACTTCAATAAAGATTTCTATAGAGAAGAGTAAAAAATGGTCACTTGCTAATTAAAATAACACAGAAATATAGTTTCTTATAGGGTGATTCCATAATTCCACAGTACCTTCTGGTCTTCACTCTGCCAACTGCTTGTAGCTTCCAAAGCGGGGAATTCAAGCTGACCAATCAGATTTCAGATGACCTTGACCAAACTGCCCAGTTTTAGAAATTTTCTACAATCCTGTTTGATATAATGCTGTTACTAATCAGATTGAAAAATGGGGAAGATAAGCTTGAACTTCTCTCAACTAGCCATATATGATTATGAAAGTATACAAAGATTTAAATCTAAAATCAGAAGACTTATTTGCAAATTAAAAACAAATGTAACAGATTTTGTAGCAATTAAGTACTATTTGCATTTGGTAAGTGAACTTATGATTATAGAAAATATTCAATATTTGGTATTTGAGTTGCTAGTTCTGTGTTCCTAAGGATAGCAGAATTGGAACATTGAGGCTTACTGTTTTTAAATCTAGCAATTGAAATGGAGAGATCTGCTGTTTGTCTTTTTGATAAAATACCTCAAGTATCTGGGGTGCAGAAGTCTTATAAAATCTCAGAGCTTCCAAATTTTCTTGGAACTCCAAGAAAGGGAATGGTGAAAATATAAATAATAAAAAGGCTTCCATTCTCATTAGTTTAGTTTGCTGCTTAGTTTCCTCTTTCTGATTCTGTTGTAGTGGATCTGGAAATAAAATTGAATGTTAATATAAATGAAATGACTATATATAAAAGGTGATTTTAAGTGTTTTTCACCAACAGAATTTTGAATAAAGTTGAATCAACTGACATTGATAAATTAAAATCTGAAGGGTGCTTAGGAAAAATCCTTGTCCTGTTCTAAGTTACACAGTAGAATTGAATTTTTAATAATTCAAGTTCAAAAATTCTATATTGTAGCATCCTATTGAATGTATTTGAATAAACTATAACCACTTTAAATATCACACAATGTACTGGAAGTTTGACAAGTTTCCCCTCCTCTAAGATTCTTTTAGGGCTTTAAAATTTTGGTATCATACATTATTTTGGTTAGATTGGTGCATTTCACTTAACTGCATTCTTAAACATATAAATATAATTATTCTTCAAACATCAGTGGAATGTTTTATACTTTAACATTGATACTACCGTCCTGTTTTTGTTTTCTTTTTGTTTACAGGTTGTTAAACGAGAGGACATTCAGCAATTTTTTGAAGAATTTCAATCTCGAAAGAGGAGGAGGGTAGATCAGATGCAGTACTACTGTAGCTAGACTAGATAGGAAGTCTTACATATACAGCTGTCTGCTAAATTCTGGGGTTTCTCTCCCAATTTAAATCTAACTTCTTGTTCATCTTGATTTGTGTCCTAGAAGGCTGAGTTTATTATTTACAGCCACATGCATACACCAATTTCCTAGTAACTATGCTGAGAAGTGAAATGATCATGGATTCACAGAATGTCACTTGTGTCAAAGAAAGGGCTGGTTAGTTTTCAGAAGATACCTACTTGGAAACTATACTGATTGCCTCTTAAGACAATATGGGTGACAACAATCTTTTTTATGACTTAAAGGAAAAATCTAGATAAAGGTCTTAATGAATTAGTATTCAGGGTCAAGGTACTTGTTTCTCAAAGACTTATTTGAATGCAAGATTTCATATCTGCTTGGTTTTAGGACATTCATTATGGTATATTCTGCTAGCTGTTGCTCTTAAGCCAATTTGGATCATTATATGGCTTGCTGAATTAGTTGAAGTACAACTTTTAGCTAAAATTAGACATTCATGATTGTTGAATGAATATGACGGAGGCCAGTGTGTGTATTATAAACAGTGGTTAACTGGTAGGCAATGATAGTGCAGAGGCTTAGTAATATTATCACCAATATGTTTTGATTGATTGCCAGCACAGAATGTCTAAATTGCTTTTTGGTAGATCATAATTATCAGGTTAATCTATTGACTTTTTAAAACTGAAAGGAGTATCTGAAACTGATATAATGTAATTGCAAACGTTTAGGAAGAACAGCCTACAAAGCTTAAAGCTCCCAAACTAAAATATGGCTGTGATCTTTTGTAATTATGTTAGAGAATTCAAACCCTTAATATTGCAAAGAATGTTTAAAACATCATTTAAGTACATCTATTTTCTATTGGTTAAATTTATCACCTAACTACTAGAAATTCACAGCAATCATGCTGTATACCAATATCTCAATAAAATTGTATTTTAATTTTTAAGTTGGTGAGTGTTGTAATAGCAAAAGCTAGTTCTAAACATTTAAAGCTGAAAGCACATTATGCATTTGCTCATCTAGTAGGATGTTTCCGCCTGATTCCCATCGTCACAGGAAACTCTGGCTGTTCATGGGCTATGATTTTTCTCATTATATTTTAAATTAATTAAGAGTCATTGCTATAGCCATAAGATGTGGTTGTCTTGAGTGCAGTGTGGCTTTATATTGCTGTTAGAATGGTATAAAAAATAACCAACTGTACATTAGAAATAATAAGCAATTGTCTTACATAATTACAGACTTTTTTAAGAAGGAGTGATGCAGTATGGTAAGTATGCATTGAAGAAGCATTAGCAGGCAGTGTGTTTCAATTTAAGCAATCTTTGTTGACATAAGAAGAGCCCTCCAAGTATTGTCAAGCTGCAATTTGCTATGTGTTTTTACTCCTGACAAATATAATAGGACAGAAGGAAATGAAAATCTATCCCTGCTGGAGAGCAATACCAAACAGAAATTACCCCAATAAACTTGAGTTATGACTGGTTTAGGATGTTAAAGTGCCAAATGATTATCTTTTCTATTCTACCCAGTAAGGAATCTGAAAGTCCACATAAATCAACTACTGTATTTTTCAGAGTATAAGATGCATCCTTTTCCCCCCTAAAAGGGGGTGAAAATTTGGGTGCGTCTTATACACTGAATGTAGCCCCGCCCACCCACTGGCCCCCACCAGTTTACCTCTTTGCAGCAAGCAGAAATAGCTCCTTTCAGCTTCAGCACAGCCTAATTAGCACAAGTTGATTGGATCGGCCTCCTGACTCTCAGATGTTTTGCACGGGCCTCAGCTGCTTGCTGCAAGGAATTGCTGGAAGCAGATTTTTTTTTCTTGTGCTAATCAAGCTATGCTGAAAACAAAAATGAAAGTAAAGCAGGTTGTTTGCTGCAATGAGGCAAAATTGCTGGGAGGCAGAAGTAGATTTCTTTTTCTTGTTTTCCTCACCAAAAAAGATAGGTGCATCTTATAGTCCAAAAAATACGGTATTAGATCTAAGCAAACTAATATAATTCAACTAAATCAACCATTTGATGTTACAAATGGGTAATCATCTTTCTAAAGAACAGATAACCTACACCAGCATATGCAAAATTTTTCACAAAAGTAAGAATGAGTATGTCTTTTCTCTTAGCTGTCTCAAAAGTTTTATCACTATCAATTTACTAACGATGTTGCACACAGGTTCTTCTTTCCTACCTTTGTATTTGGACACTCCTCACATTACTGTTTTGATGATAAACTATGAGTAGAATGCAGTAACGTAGGGAAAGTTTGGTACTCGAGTCATCTCAAGGCAAGCAATGCAAACTGGAGTGCCTACCATGATATACTTAGCAGTGTTTCCTACCGTCTTTGAGACTGTTTAAATCCTGGATATGCTATAATTTGTTATGTCATCCGTTCCTGAGGTGAAGAATAACCAGTGGTGACATAATAGTAGGATCATTGATGGAAAGGAAAACGCTTTGTTCCAAAGCAGGAACAAACCATCATATTTCAGAAGTTCTGCTAAGCCATTGAGATCAGCTGCAGTTGACCAGGGACAAAAGACTGAGTAATGTATGAATTTGCACTAAAACAAAATCCAAATAAAATATACAGAGTGATTCTACAAGGCAAGTAGGGCAAGGCTGATGTGCATCACTTTCTCCAGCAGTTCCAGCATGGCATATCCCATCCACCTGCTTACCTCTCCAAATCTTCCCAGTGCTTTCCCTTCCTTAAATTACTGCTGCCAATATCCTTAGCTCTTTTTCCCTGCCCTGTATCACTTTGTCCCAGAATAAAACCATCTGTTTTATTTCATGGATGGGCCAAAGTCTGCTTCAGTTTGGATATGGATTACTTGAAACATTTTATGCATCCATATTTATATTACCGCAGTCCTATATGCGGCTTGACTTAATGCCTGGCCAGAAATCAAGTGAGCTCCATAATAAACACTTGAGAAGGATACAGAATACATTTCATTAGGCAGCTTTGTTAGACCATGAGGTCTTAAGGCAATTCATTTAGTTTGAATATCAGAAAGTCACTGAAAGGCAGAGTAAGCCATTAATAGCTGGACTGTGGTGTGGTTAGCTTCCTGTCATGCAGCAAGTAATATAGTCAACACTTCCAATGCAGATGAGACAAAAAGAAAACACCTTTTAATATCTTGCTTAAAGGTGAAATGAATGTCTCAGTCTAGAAAACAAATCTAAATCTAGAATTAAAACCGACAAAAAATACAGGACACTGAGTAAGCTTTCTTCAGAACTCAGTTAACCTGAAAGTTAAATGACTAGTGCAAAAAATGAAAAGTGGGCATAAAAGAAAAATCCTAAAATTAGAGGTGAGAGTTTTATGAATATACTGAAAAAGATTGTCTCCTTACCTATATTCTGTGGTACACCTACCTCCATAACCTTCCCAATTATTTGAGAACACATGCTGGGATCTTCGTTATGGTCTGCTTTTCCTTTTCCTTGCTTCTACCTTTAATGTTCATTTTATGGCACTTAAATTGTTTCAAATAAAAGATATTGCCTACTGTAATTCAGAGTTTTATTGGTACTTTTAAAGCATGCAGGTCATGAATATTATTGCAGTGTGTTTGGCCCATTCAAATTAAAATCTCATACTCAAAAAGTTTCACAAAAGTTTCATTTGTAATGAAAAGTATGTTACACTTGCATTTTTCTAGACAAGCCATTTATTTGAAATACCAACTATATGTACGATAAAGTCAGTGTTAACATGCTTCTCAGCAACAGTAGAAAAATAGAACCAGTGAAAACCTTTTTACAATTATAATGATACTCAAAAGAGAAATGTATTCTTTTACAATGCATCACACAAGACTAGAATTCAATTCTAGGCAGTACCTAAATAAAAATTCTATTTTTTTAAAAAATAGTATGTACAATTGAAGCGTAAACAAATTTTACAAAGTACTGGTTATGCAGGTTGTAGAAAAAACACTTGCATAGGACATGAAGTTGGTTTAAGAAAATTTCTGAGCCTTTAGCATTGAAGGCACTTTTTATACCAGTAACAGCACAAGAATTTTATCATGGACACTTAACATCTTTCAGAAATACATACAAGTATAGAAACATCGGTTTTTAATCCTTCAGCTTTCCCCAACACTCCACAAATATCCATCCATCATATAAACAAACAGAGTCATTGGAAGTAACTAGAGTAAGAGTGGTATCTTTGGACCTTTTCAAAATAACAAATAACAGATGGAAATGGGTTTATATTATTTCAAGGTAAAAACAAAAGTATTGAAGGAGAAGATATTAGCCCTTTTCCATTCCTTAACAGGCAGAAAAAGACTGAAGACAAGTTCAAATACAAGATATACTAAATGGCGAGCCGGGCAATTTTGCTTTAAGCTTGCAGGACTACAAGAAGTAGCTTTGTTAGTATTGCAAAAAAACAAAAAAAAAAAACAAACAAACTTGTAAACACATTGGACGAATGCCAAAATGCCTTGTGTGGCACTTCCCTCTATAGTAGCAGCCCTTTGTCTTCTGAAAAATGCAGCTGATCACACTAGTGAAGCAGCATCAGTTCCTTGTGCCTATGAAAGATTTAAAAATTCTCAAAATATTGTATATGCATGGAAATGAATCCCAGCTACAATTTAAACCCCACTTTTTCCTTTGTAGGATGCAGTCAAATCAGATTTGGTACTGTTACAACAAGATAAGCAATAATCTGAAGCTATTTTATATTAGTTCAGTAACTATCTCTGACATGTGATTACAGAATTATAGAATACTTGGGACTTATTAAATTTATTTGCTCATCTCAAATCCAAATGACTGGGTGGATTTATTCCAATATTTCATTAAGATTTTTTTAATTGCTTAAAACTTTGAAAAATGGTACATAATCATTTATTACAATAACGTGGAAGAGGTGAGATTGATTGTGCATCCTGCATTTTGAAGATAAAAGCTTTAAATACATCTCATAGTAAATTATCTGTTCACCAGAATGTAAAAGCAATTTCAATTACGACAAATTCTTTTATTAATTCATTGTTAGACAAAATTGGAGGGAAACCCTTGCATTCCTCTGATTGACTGGGTCACAGATATTTTTAAAAAAATAAAATCAAGAAGACTCTTAAAAGAGGATGGGTAGGTAAGATGAAATTTCTTATGCAAAGTCAGTAGAAGAGTTACCTAAAGATCCACAGATTATTTCACTGAGATGGAATTAAAATACACTAATAATTAACAAAGCCCAAATGTTGATGGGGATTAATGTTCCATTTATATGTGGCCCAGAGGAAAAGGCAATAAGCCAGAATTCTGAAGCCTCTCTAAACTCTTTAGGCAATCTGCTCAAATGGGAATATTTAGGCTTAGGTTGTTAAAGTGGTACAACAGTCTCTAGATCTGATACAGATTTACCTTCCTCTAAAAAACTGCTGTCAAATGATAGCTTACTTTACTTATGGAGTGTATGTTTTTATGCTTCTCATTAGCTATATCACAGTAAAAAAAAAGTGTAAAATGAATTATCTAAATCAATTCAATAGCTACTATTGAGACTGAACACTTGTGCCTTGAGTTTCTCATCCATACATCCTATCACATTTCACTAGTACATTGGCTTTGGGTAGAGTTGGAAAAAAACCTACTTGAAATAGAATATTAACATCTAAAATGGACTTTATAGTCTGTTTTGGGAGTGTAAACAAATCCAGGAAGTTATCAGAAGAGTCCTATCCGTGATCTCTACAAAACAAAGCCAATATACAGTACATAGAAAGATTTGAGTTTCATGTTCGAAAAAAGATTTTCAGAAATCATAACAAATTTGGGGTGTGTGGGAGAGAGAGAGAGAGAGAGAGCACTACTACTGAAGATGATAAAATAATGGAATATTATTTTTTATCAGTGCCCAAATTGAACCAAAGCATCGTTCTTGAAACACGTTTGACAGAAAACATGTTTAAATCCCAGATCATTAACAAGATGCTTCACAAGTGACAATAAGTGATTATCTTATCCCCAGAGTGCTGTCTTATTACCAAATCAACTTTTCACAGAATATATTTTTTCAGTTCACAAAGATGTAACACAATGCTTGAAATTAATGTAGTGTAAACTATCTGGACAAGCTATTAATTCTCATTCCTTTTTAACAGTGTTTTCCCTTAAAGGGTTGGGACTGGGAACTAAAAGATTAGTGGGGACTTTAAAAAAGAGCTCAGAAAATAATTAAAAACACTTAAACAAAATGTACATTTCAACAGTCTCAAGTACAGTATTTAAAAATAGATTTAAGGTTAGCTAACGTTAAAAAAAAGTTCAATGTTGCTAAGGTTCAAGTGATGGAAGAGCTGTATTTTAGAATTAACCACCATATCAAGTCAAGCCTTTGCTAGGTATTACCACACAGTGGTACTGAAATTTTTCCAGTCCATGCAAGAGAAATACGTGGCAAGTACCTGAAACAACTGACTGCTGAAATGGCCATTCTTAGTGGCAATAATCTATCCGCACAGCATCTCTACTTTATGTTCATAAAACCCAAAAGAACCTCCCTTCCAATATGGTTTAACCAACTTCAACAAACTCCAAACTATTCCAAGAGAGGAATGAAGAAATTAAGTGCTAAATTGTTTATAGCTCATTAAGTTGTAGTCATCTTCAAATATGCTTTCTGTCCACAAAACAAAGTATATATAACATTACTAAAACTGCAGCCCTTTATTTCTTCAGAGGCAGAAAAAAGGCAGTAAGCATTCCTCTTGACTTCTCCACAGAGGAGGACTGTTCTACCAAAATGTAGCATTAACACCCATGTCAAATGCTAAACAATTCTTTTCTTGCCTTCTTGTGCTTACCATCTATGTATCTTTCTAAAATGAATCAGAAAAGAATCAGAAAAGCACGTCTACAGAAATGTCACAAATTTGAAGCACTCGTCGCACTGTAACCAAAGGGCTTAAAAAGTGTTCCGTCAAAGTTTTCATGTTCCAAAAGGAAAAGAATGTTTTCAGAAATCATAACAGACTTGTACTCCTCATTTTCAAAGAAAATCCTGGCCACAGACATTACTGAGCACTTGCTACATCAGCAGCCTGAGACTTGGTAAACAGAGCATACACATTAGACTGGATTCTTGTATTAGTGGTAAAGCCGAAAGGTTGCAAACCTAACCAGAGCAGTTTTGTAAGTGTGCTGTTCTTTGGAATTCCTATTGTCATTAAAAAATAAAGACAGATATTTTCACCATCTTGTAAGAAAATACATCTTAAGTATGCAAGTATGCAGCCTAATGCACACTGAATACCAGGAAATGATTTCTTTAAAAAAAAAAAAAAGACGCTCAAAATAGTATGAACATACAGTCCTATAAAATATGACAGTAGAAGTTTAACATACCAATATAAAAATTAATAAAATTAATGTACAGGTGCAAAAGGCTACCTTTTATTTTTCCTTTTTTTAAAGGTGCCAGTTAAAATATATTTTTGAGAATTTTAGCAAAATCTGTTGAAAACATAAACCCTGAAGCAGCATTCCAAATAAACTGGGAGCATGCCATTTCTTAATGAAGCCATGTATATACAAAAATAATAATTAAAAAATGATATAGCGGCTGGCATTGGAAAAAAACTGGCCTGAGAAAATTTCAGGCCAGGGATTTCAAAGACTGATCTTTCACAAGTCTTAGGCACAGAGAAGAAGTGGAGGTGGAGGGTTTTCAGAGGGCAGATTTTTTGTATAGGAAGTCGGGAGACTTTCTTCCTCTACTTACAACCTCTTCTCTTTCCAAATCTACATTTCTCTGGGCTTCACTCTCCAGAGGCTCAGTGTCGGCCAATCTCCTGCTAGATGGTTCATCATGGATTTCTTCCCTGTAGGAAGGCAGGGAAGGTCGACCAGAGGTTAGGCCATACGTTAAATCCGTTTCCATTTTTGTTCGTCCCCTTGCATGAATTGATATATTCCCAGGGTTCTCCTGGGCAGCCAAAGCCAAGTCCAACCTCTGGGGAGGTTGTTCTAAGACATTGAGGTGTATCGTTTCATTCTTTTGTCTGTGTGAATGCCCTTCTTGAGAAAGTGCATAGTCTCTCCTAGAATCTTCTAGCTTTTTAGGAGAGATGTGATTGGGTAACTGAGTGGTTTTTAAGCCGCTGGGCGATGCTTTATTGTGGTTATATAAATCTGGGCCAAAATAGATACCTTGGGAAGGTGAAGGGGTGTGCCTGGTAAGGGAAGGAGTAGAAGGCCTGCATGCAGCATTCGAGAAATCATAGAAATCAGGATATTCCTGGTGATTCTCTCTAGGATCCAGTTTTTGCTCAGCTGAATGTTTCTTCCTTGAACTATGTATGTGCCTTGTCTGAATGCATGAAATGTGCTGAGGTGGTCCTGGTGTAACTTCCAGAACAGGCTCTGTGTCCACTGTAAGCTCTGGCAGCCTCCTGTCCTTCAGAGATATAGTTGACACACCCATTGCAATATCTGGCATCAGCTCATTGAGAACAGGTTGAATACCCTGAAAAAGAGAAAAACCAATTACAACTTGTGCTTGTCATCTAGCTGTCCCAGGACGACTTAGCCCTACAAAAGTCCAACATTACACAGTTAAGAATCTGACATTCAACTTGCCCTGTTTTATACATCATACTGTATTTGCTCAGGAAACGAAAAAGTTGAGTGCTGTTTCAAAACTAATAAGAAATAATGATTCATAAACTATGTAGTATTTTATATTGATGGTTCTATACGACGTTAGCTTCTGAAATCAAAGACTCTGATTTGAGCACAAAGAGTTGAGGCTTTCTAAGCAAACCAGTTAAAAATTAAAACATGACCGCAAGCATAGTCATATTAATGTAGAAAAGTGGGATAGCCCCAAATCTTACCAAAAGCGGAAATTTTCATTTACTATAACTGCAATTTGGCAATGTAATTTTTTTAAAAAAACGTGTTACAAAAAGCTGCAGTGTATCCAGGATAATAATAGTCCTATGTGCAGGCCTGTCAATTTTGTGTGTTTCCTGTAGAGATGCATTTTGGATTGCTTATTAATAGGAAGCTCCTACTGAATTCATTAATTCAATAGGCAGATTCCAAAAAGTAATAACTATACATAAAATGCTTTAATTATGATTTGTTGATAATACAGGTAACACTAGTCAGCAACAATGTTTTCACAGAGATTGGAATAGGTGTTCTAAGCAGGCTTTTTTAAAAATGAAATCAGATTTTTTCCCTAGCATTTCACTTTCGCTTATGACTCTATCTTTATGATTATTCATGTTCAAATAATGACATTATGCTGCTAGCGTATTTTAACTATCGTTAACAATCATTTGTAACCTAATTATTACAACTATTAGTAGATAAATAGGTACCATTTTGGTTGGGAGGCTTTTATTGTTTACAGATTATGCTCTGTAACAGGAATCATGACATTTTATATATTTATAACATTATAAGATTAAAATATATTTAATATATTATATATTAACTTTTTAACATACACATATGTGGATGTGTGTGTTTGTATGTATTATATTGTTGTGCATTATGTAGGTTATATTATAACATATACCATAGATTACCTTTTAACTTTCAATATTGTAAACCTAACTTTTAATTCTGTTTTGTTTTATTTATGCTTTTATATTTTGTGATATGTTTTTATTCTAAGCTACCCAGAGTCGCTTAATTGAAATGGGCAGTATAAATATGTGACAAATAAAATACATAAATATTTATACATTGAATGGCTACCTTATAAAGTTGTTTCATCAGCTGTTAGTTGAAAATGGGTAATAGGTTTTTTTTTTAAATAAAGCATACATTTTCTTCAAGCCTACTACCTTGATAAAAACACAGAAGAACCAAAATTAGTATCTTATTCATAAACTAACTTAAAAGCAAAGGTGTAAGAGAAACTTCACAGAAAATGTGGATGCAATCTATAGGAAAGGATTTAATAAATGAGTAAAAATCCCCAGCTACTATGTTCACTTATTCTAGTTAACCATTTACCTCTTGATATGTTCCTTCGATGGCCTTTGGAGGAAAATGAATTTGGTGAGCAAGAACTTGGTTTTCTGCCCATTGTGTTAGCTTCTCCTCCTGCTTCATTTAAATCTTCACTAGATTGCCTCTTCTACATACCATGCAAATATTTGCTTTATTTTTTGTACATTAATGCTACCTAACAATCTTGGCATCTTCATTGGCAAGAGCTTGAGTCAATTGATTAAACCCATCTGCTTTGTCACATAAATCTATCAATCTGGAGGGCTTGTTTGTTATCAATTTAGACCATAGGGAAATTATACAACAGCTTGTATGATCTCTTGTAGAACAATTCAATGCCACAGTGCTTGATCACAATCAACGTTTCCAAAATGAAGCCTGCTCCACTTCCAACAGCTATAATGGTAAACTTAAAATGCCAAGTGTTATTCACAGCATTCTGCAGTAGTACATTAATACTGATATATTTATTTATCCACTTTATATAGCCATCCATTTCATATTTATTTATTTATTTAGGGAATTTATATTGCAGTCTATTTGCACATGGCGAGTCAAGGAGGCTTATAGAATATAAAATCTTATATAAAAACAATAAAATAAAACGAGTCATATAATAAATTAATATAATACAATCACCCCCCCCCACACCCCAGTGACAGCACCTCACATTAGCCATTTAATGGGCTCTATCCTGCTGGCAAAACCAGGTCTTCAGCGCCTTCCGGAAGAGTGTTAGAGTGGGGGCCATTCTAATCTCTGGGGGGATGATGTTCCCGAGAGAGAGGGCCACCAAGGAGAAGACCTTTCTTCTGGGTCCCACCAGGTGTATCTCTCTAGGGCAGTGGTTCTCAACCTTCCTAATGCCGCGACCCTTTAATACAGTTCCTCATGTTGTAGTGACCCCCAACCAGGGGTGGGTTCTAATTTTTTTTTACTACCGGTTCTGTGGGCGTGGCTTGGATGTCATGTGACTGGGTGGGCGTGGCTAGCTGGTCATGTGACCGGGTGGCCATGATTATGTGTGTAGGGACTGCTCAGAGGGCTGAAAAAAGTCATTTCTGACAGGTTCTCGCACTTTTGACTAGCCCTCACACTTATGACCATCCTCACATTTATGCCGGTGCAGCATTCTTAACAACCATGTCACTCATTTCACAATTGCTTCTCTTCACCATGGTGACAAGATAGGGAGAAAAACATAAAATGTGAGGACAGTTGTAAGTTCGAGGACTGGTCAAAAGTGCGAGGACCAGTCAAAAATAACTTTTTCAGCCCTCTGAGTAGTCCATATGCACAAAAGGACTACCCAGAGGGCTGAAAAAAATGATTTCTGACAGGTCCTTGCACTTTTGACCGGTCCTCGTACTTACGACTGGTCATCATTTATGCCCATTGTAGCATTCTTAACAACCATGTCACTCATTTCACAACTGCTTCTCTTCACTATGGTGACAAGATAGGGAGAAAAACGTAAAATGTGAGGACAGTCGTAAGTTCGAGGACCTGTCAAAAGTGCGAGGACCAGTCAAAAATAACTTTTTCAGCCCTCTGAGTAGCCATATGCACAAAAGGACTACCCAGAGGGCTGAAAAAAGTGATTTCTGACAGGTCCTCGCAAATCAAAGATTTCTGAGACCAATGGTGAATACTTAAATTTCAGTAGTCACCAATCCCAGTCTTAAAATGAGTTTAGAATCAGTGGGAGTCACTGATAACAATGAACTAACTAGCTACTGATAATGAGTCCAGTCCTGCCTTTCTTTTCCTTCTGTCCAAGTTTTGCAAGTACTTTTTCCAGGTATATGTTTTATTCCAAAGTATACAAACCATTATTGTTAGGGAAAAAATGGGTCTTCCAAGCAATTTTAAAAGACACTGTCAGAATGACTCTGCTCTCAGCCCCCCTTGTGGCTTCTTGAAAAGCATCCCCCCCCCACATATGTAAATGAAAAGAATAAGCTTTAAAATCCTAGCCTTTTAAAATTGAAAATATGGAGAATTGGGAGGATGAATTTGAGACACTAAGGGAGATGTTTCAAAAAGTAAGGAGGCATTTAAGGGAAATAAAGAAGCAGAGAATTGGTTAGCTTGCAAAAAAAGAAAGAAAAGATAAATGAGAAGCAAGAGAAACAAGGAGATAATATTGAAAAGGAAATAATTGAAAAAAAAGATAAAGATGATTACACTGGGTTCAATAGAAAAAATGGAATAAGATGAAATATACTGCTAATAATTAAAAAGATGAGGGGAAATTTTGAGAAATATACTTGATAAATGAAAGGAAGACCGGGGTTGCCTGGACTCCATAGTGGAAAATATAAAATTGAAAATGAATACAGCAATAGAGAGGGATGAAGGAAGGAGAAGAGAGATGGAAGAGGGAAGGAAGAGAAGGGATGAAGGAAGGGAACGGAAATTAGAGTAAGAGGGAGGGTAAGAGAAGGAGGAAGAGAGGAGGAGAAGGAGAAAGGAAGAGGAAGTAGGGAGGAAAAGAAGAGGGTGGGGGGAAGAGAAAGTAAGAAGGAAAGAAAAGAGAGAGGTGGTAGGTTTGAGGAGAAAGATTGCTGTACAATAAAAAAGATGAAAGGGAAGAAAGGCAACCCCAAACAAATATAAAGATATTAAGATAAATAATGAATTGTTAAACTTTAAAGAATAAAAGAGAACAAATATGAATAAATAGCAATAATTAGAAACACACGTACAAACATACAATGTATTTTCTTTGAACAGAGTATTTGGCCGGTTCACAAATTTAAACAGTGTTTAGTCATTTCAATTAAATTTACAATTTCTATATTTCCTTTTTGCCATATTTATTCCTCATCTATTTTTTTAAAAAACCAATATTATCCTTCATCCTCATCTCTAATCTTAATCAAATTCAATTTTTCCCTTCTATTCTATATTATACCCCTTCCCATTGTCATCTATTTTTATATCCATCCTCACATTGGTTAATTATGTAATATTACAGTTGTTTAATATAAATTCAACATTTTAATATAAATCAATTAGTTATATAACTAATCTTTTTTGTATATTAATCAATATGAACATGAATATTCCAATTATTTACATGCCATCCAATTTCTTACAAATCAATTAATTATATTTACCAATAATAATAAACCAAATTATTTCCTCCATATATTCCTCCAAACCACAACTTAACCATTTCTGCTTTCAACACAATATACAATTAATAGTATCTCAATTATTACAATTCCCTAGTTAAATAGAGCTTTTTTTCTTTTGTGTTTTAAAATCTTGAACTCTCCTCTTTTGCCCTAAATTTCCCATTGTTTGCACCTACCTTTTTTGGTGAGGAAAAAGAAAATAAATCTGCCTCTGCCTAATTTTCCAACGTAACAGTCAAAGCCTGCTTTACTTCCAGTTTCGTTTTCAGCTTGATTTGCATAAGGAGAAAAAAAAATCTGCTCCAGCAATTTAGCTCTTTGCAGCAAGCTGCAGAACTCTGCGCAAAACAGCTGAGAGCAAATTAGCTGAGAGTCGGGAGGCAGATCTAATCAACGGGCTAATTAGCCTATGCTGAAGCTGAAAGCAGTTGTTTTTTCTTGCTGTTTGCTTGCAAGGAGGTAACTGCTGCGAGGCACAGGCCAAAGGGTGGGGGCCACTCTCCTTGCCACTTAGCGCCCCCCTGTCACCCCCTTTTGCCTCTAGCGCCCCCCTGCCGCCCCCCTTGCCTCTTATCGCCCCCTAAGGCATGGTACTGCCCACTTTGGGAACCACTGGCTTAACTACTTAAGTACTTAACAACTGGTTCTACCGAAGTAGAATCCCACCACTGGGTCTACCCATTTATTTTTGCAGAGACCGGTCTACTCATTTTTCTTTTAACACTGATCAGCTGTAGGGCGGCCCTTTGAAGCCCTGCCGCAAGAGTTTAAACAGTTTTTTTTTCCCCTCTAGCCATCAGCTGGGACTCAGGAGGCAGCAATAGATTGGGGGGGGGCAAATAAAAGGTAAGAATAATGCGGGGGTGGGTGGGTGGGGCCCCAGAACCGGTTTTCCAACGGTCTTAGGCAACCCCTGGGAAAGGGTCGTTCGACCCCCAAAGAGGTCGCGACCACTGCTCTAGGGGATGGGATCCTCAACATTCCCTGCCTCCCCTTATGACTCTGGGCAACTTACAAACAGATTAAAAATATATACAACTTAATAAAACCCCTTAAATGTAAAAAAAGGTATTGTCTGCATAAAATAAAAAGGTACTCTTACCACTTGCTTTTCAGCAGCTACCACAGCTGCTGCAGCTGCAACTGTCTGTCTTCCCAGTCCTGCGGTATTAGTGCAATCTGGAGGTGTGCCTTTCACACTGGAGAAATAATTGGGTAGGGCAGCTTTGGGGGCTGTTCTGGCATGGAAGAGCGAATGGTTACAAGGGTAAGAAAAAGAACGGGAAGGGTGCTGGCTCTGGGCTCTTTGCTTCCATCCAACTTTGAACTGACTGTGAACTGGAGTCGCTGGTGGATGGTAAGGAGGGGGGGGAGGAGGGAGTGGTGGGTGGAAGGCCACAAAAGAGTCTAGGTCTGTAAACACTGTTTCTGCAGTGGGCGTGCTGTTCACACGACATCGGCCTGACTGTCTCAGGGTCAGAAGTGGGCTTTCATCTCCAAAGTGCTCGTCGGGGAAGAACTTGTGAGGATTCTGCAGCAGAAAGACAGAACAAGAAATGCAACATGTCTATGGAGATTCTCAGTCATCTAGGTCATGGTTGTCCCAAAGGTGTTTTTTCTGAAGAAGCTTCTTGGATGAGAAGTGAAACATTTTCAAAGAAAAACCAGAAAGTCCAGTTGCCTCTTGAAAAAGCACCTTTGGGACAACAAATGTAACACTTCTACTAATACAGATAAATGGTCAGTTGTACTTTTTCCTCCATGCCAACAATATGGAAACACGGTGGGTTTGCATTACAATGACTTTGACTGGGAAAAATCAGCACAACATGCTAGCACAATGGGATCTATATACGTATCTAATTACAGAGCCTATGTCAGCAAAATACAGTAACTCTTCCTGTTCCATCTTTACTTTACTTTTTACTTTACTTTTATTTGATTTCTATACTGCCCTACTCCCGAAGGACAGCCAACAATAAAATGCATACATACAAAATTTAAAAGCAGAATTAAAATCAAATTAAATAATTTTGGCCCAGACAATTAAAACCCCAATCTATTTAAAACCAATTATAAAATTTGAATATATAAAATACTAAAAATTTAAAATTAAAATTCTTTTATAAAAGAGGGAGAAAATTAGGCCAGGCCCGCCTGGTGAAATAGAAAGGTCTTTGGAGCGCGGCGGAAGGCGCACAGATCCGGGATCCTCCGTATCTCCGGGGGGAGCTCGTTCCAGATAGTAGGTGCCCCCACAGAGAAGGCTCTCCCCCTGGGGGCCGCCAGTCGGCATTGTTTGGCCGACGGCACCCGGAGGAGCCCCTCTCTATGGGAGCGTACCGGCCGGTGGGAGGCTATTGGTGGTAGTAGGAGGTCCCGCAAGTATAAATCCCATCTTAAGCATAAAACTACATAAATTCTTATTCTGTAGATCAACATAGGGTGGGGCTCTGTATAGGCTTTAGTCTAGGATTCTTAACATTTTTTTATCAGCATATTTGAATCAAAAGCTTTAGATGGCTGTAATTTTTATTAAGCATTCTCATCATTATGCATGAAAGATAACTCACATTTAGAATAGAGCAGCTTAAAGGAGCAATGGGAATACTTTCTTGTTCATCGGTTAGAAACAAATTAATTTGACCTATTCTTTTTTTTTTTTACATTACAATATGTAACTGAATGTACTCACTTCTTCAACACTTTTGCACATGCTAGTTACATCTGACTTTGAATACACGCAAGTTCTAAAACACTTAAAAAGAGAATCAGAGCAGCCTGCTTGCATGCTGCCTTTCAACGTTTCATACCTGCAGCAACTCAGCAGCAGAATCAGAAAGTCCAAACTCCCTCAATACACGGATCTGAATCTCATAACTGACTGTGGCTCCTTCTCCACAGTTCAGAGCATAAGCTCGCTGAACTTGCTCAGTATGGCGGAGCTCCTGCAGCCGTCTGACCATTTCTTTAACAACAGAGAGACGAGGAACTGAGAAAAAAACCAAACAGAAAACAATCGCATTGAAATTAATTCTGCATTCTTGTAATGAGCTTCAACAGGGCCCAGGTTTAGCAAGGTAGATATTTACACTTAAGAAAGAACTTATCTAAAAGCAATTGATCGGAAAGACATGTGTCAGCAAGATCAATGCAATAATGACTCGAGCTACAAAGTTGGACAGAGGACAGTACAGATGAATTTCCTTCATTTCCATCTTATTGTGAACCCACTGAAAACTTTTACCATTTAGATCAGTTTTCCCACCTGAATTCAGTATAAGCACCTGTATAAGCAGGACAAGAAGCAATGGGTGGAAACTAATCAAGGAGAGAAGCAACCTAGGACTAAGGAGAAATTTCCTGACAGAACAATTAATCAGTGGATGATTTGCCTCCAGAAGTTGTGAATGCTCCAACACTGGAAGTTTTTAAGAAGAGATTGGACAACAATCATCTGAAATGGTATCGTTTTTCCTGCTTGAGGAAGGGGTTGGACCAGAAGACCTCCAAGGCCCCTTCTAATTCTGTTATTCTGTTATCTTTCCTGGATGTTCTTTATGCAAATGGACCATCAACACTTCATCCTGCCAAGTATTTCCAAATTTGCTTATGGGTTGGGAGGCACTCTGCAGCACATGTGGTAATCCTATCTATCGCTATGCAATCTAGCTGCTGATACAACTAAGAAGGTCTAACTCCTTTTACAGTATTTTCCTACTAATATTTTCCAATAAATATCTTCATTCTGAGCATATTCTACCTCTTTCCATTAGTTTAACCAATACGAATAACAGAATAAAAGATTTGGAAGATCATCAATCATTTGATTTTGTCCCTTAAATACATTGTTAGGTAATTTTTTAACAGGGTTTTGTTGCAGCTTCCAAATCTGTCTCTTTAATTTCCAGAAGTTCCCTCTTTGATTGCATTTTTTTTTTGGTCATTCTGAATCGGGAAATAAATGAAAACTGCCATGCAAGACAAACAAGCTTTCTAAATTTTTTTTTTAAAGGATCCAACTACCGCCCCCAAGGAGAAAAAAACCTTCCAAAATATCCCAGCTTCATTCATCTTCATGAATCAATGTTCACCACTGTGGCCTTTTCTCCCCCAAAGCTTTCAAAGTCACCCGAACACCAATTTATTTGTCCTTACAAGTGCTATCATTCAGACTATACAGCTTGGCTCAGTATCTTCAATGATTCCCGTCACTGATCAAGGCTGATCATCACCAGCTGATAAAAGCATAAAATCCTGTACCAAATACTAAGCTATCCAGTGACTGGAATTAATTTCAAGGGTTGACTCTTTGTATTCAACAACAATTTTCTTGATCATAACACCAAAATAACTGTGGCAGCTATGCAATTCAGCTTTTATTATGTTACGCACAACTCCCAAGGATTTTTCTGCACAAGAAGGAACGCAGGCAATAAAAAGCAAGTTTTCTAGCCAAATCTGGGCATCCTGTTTTCTTCTTTCTTACCACTGATGGATTGCTGTGAGTAGCAAAGCAAGGAACAGGACCAGATACCTGTACTTCCAACAAAATACTGGCAACTGACAAAAAAGCTAATTCTTGAGCGCTGGCACCAGACTTGTCCCTCTGAAATTCAGCTTTGGCAGTTCATTTAAGCTTAGTTCTTGGATTAGCATCAATTAAGGTCAGCATTTGGAGGGCTGCTTTATAAAAGTCTTCCTCTTATACATAAACTTTAAATGAAGAATGCCCATAAGAATTTCTGGCATCACAAGAACCTTTGAACACTGTCCACTATTCATGCCTCTTCTGATACACATTCTGTACTCCAAACTTGAAGCGACCATGCCTTCATCTTGTTTTATATCAACAATCTCTGTGGTACTTCTTAATACGAATATGTCAAACATAAAAATCCACCATATTCTTTTTTGATTATGCAGAAATGTATGTATTTTTAAAGTGAGTCTTACGTTAACCAAAACTACCAAACTGATATGAATTTATGTATTATGCAAGCACACATCATGGATGAACTAATATGTTTTATTTCTGTCTAAACTTACAGAAATGGGAAAAAGGGAGAAATGGTTTTTTTTCTATTAACATATTCACAGTGGACCGAGCTGGCACAGGACAAAATTCTCACATTCTTTTTTTTTTTTTTTTTGCTTTGCAGTGAAGACATCTAGAAATGCCCTGTTAAAAATTATTTTTTTAAAAAAAAATTGATTTATATGCCGCCCTTCTCCGGAGACTCAGGGCGGCTTATAATGCGTTAAGCAATAGCCTTCATACTTTTGTATATTTATACAAAGTCAGCTTATTGCCCCCACAAACTGGGTCCTCAATTTACCTACCTTAGAAAGGATAGAAGGCTGAGTCAACCTTGAGCCTGTTAAAAATTATTAGGGTATTATGACCCTATATTAATTATCATACACTTGTCCTCCTGTTTTTATTTTTTGATGAAACTCTGGTATTTCAGTGTTAAAGAATTTCACAACCAAGAACGATGTATTTATGAATTGGCTTAGAAGCATACCTGGAATTTCATTGGCTACAACTGAAGGAGGACTGGACTGATTACTGGTCATTTGCTGGTGATTTATCATATGACAGCACTGTGGAACAGCATTGTTTACCATGTAGAGAGTATCTGGTACATTGGACATTCTAACCATCCGTAAACGGACCAGGTCCGTCTGCTCCACCATCATCTCATCCAAAAGTGACTGAAACAACAAAGGTAAAAGAAATGTTTTGCTCTAATGTACCGAAATAAAAAGGGAATATATACAGGTAGTCCTCGACTAACGACCACAACTGAGCCCAGAATTTCTGTTGCTAAGTGAATTTTGGCCTATTTTACAACCTTTCTTGCCACAGCTGTTAAGTGAATCACTGCAGTTGATAAGGTAGTAACCCGGTTGTTAAGTGAATCTGGCTTGCTCATTGACTTTGCTTGTCAGAAGGTCACAAAAGGGGATCACATGAGCCCGGGACACTGCAACTGTCGTAAATATGAGTCAGTTGCCAAGTGTCTGAATTTTAATTACGTGATCATGGGGATGCTGCAACAGTCGTAAGTGTGAAAAATGGTCATAAGTCACTTTTTTCAGTGCTGTTGTAACTTTGAACGGTCACTAAATGAACTGTTGTAAGCCGAGGACTAGATATAGCCTTTTTTTTTTTTTTAAAAAAAAGACCATATAATGGTAGATAAGAATAGATAATAGAATGTTACTCTTTCAGGAAATAATAGTTTTGTTTCCTTTACATATAATTTTATACATTCTTTACATTAAATATGGAAAGCTTCCATTCTTATGAGTCACTAATCCCTTTTTTCATGTAAATCATTCAGATGACTTTTAAGGGCTCACTAATATTCAAAGAAGCTACTTTGCTAATGTGGGTCTAAGATTAATTCATCAATCTTACAAACACAAGGCCACCTGCACATTACCTGAAATATTGCTGATAACCAAAAATACCAAAGGATTTCACTGTACAAAGAACAAGGGTGCAAAAAAAAAAATTTCTTCATGCAAAATTTGCATTAAAGTGCATACTGTCTTGTATAAGTACCACACAAACAGAAAACAAGATCAAATTTCACACTGTATGATATTCTGGGGAAACTGAATTGCATCAAAGATCTGGATTTTTTCTCCTTACACTTCTGGTGGACTGGAAAGAGGCGGGAAGGCTTTCTTCTTGAAATCAGTCCATAGAGGAAGACATCCACCAAGAGGGGTAAAGTATGCAGTTGTTCCCTACTTTCTTCTGTCATCCTTTCTCTTATAAAGGAAAGCACATAGTTCCTTCCTCCAGACACTGGAGGAGGCTGACAGTCATGGCTCATTTCTGTTTAGGAAGAGGATGCCTTCCTCTGTCTAGACAAGCTGGAAAGTCTCTGCAAATGTGTACATGTGTATGTGGTGAATAGGAAGGTGCATGCTCAGAGAAAACTCAGAAGAGATGAGAAGAGATTAAATCAATCTTTCAAATGTGTTCAGCAGGTAGAGTAATTGCATGGAAGAAAAGATCTGAAATCCTGTTCTTTTGGAGACATCAAAGGAGATGGAAGCTTGTCGAAGGAGATGGAAGCTTGTCTAGCCTCTAATTCAGGGATGTCCAGGCCCATTGGCTGGATCCGGCCCGCAGGGTGCTTAGACCTGGCCAGCGGGGCTGGCCTGGAAACAGCAAAGGACCGGCTCACAGTGTTTCTGCTAGCGAAAATGGAGCTTGGGGGGTCCGTATGCCCCCCTGCACCCTATTTTCGGCCTGGACGGCTTTCTGAAGCCCTCTGCCAATGAAAAAGGAGCTGGGGGGGGCACACGAGCCCCCATTCAGCTCCATTTTTGCTGGCAGAAGGCTAGCAAAACAAACTAAAAACAAAACAAAAGGAGAAATGTTTCCCCCCTTGCATTGGAGCATGCAAAAAGGGACAGAAAAGGGGAAAGGGAAAAAGGAAAGACAAAGAAAAAGAAGGCAAGATGGGAAGAGAGCAAGGAAGGAAAAGTAAGGAAAGAGGGGAAGGGAGAAGAAAGGAAAAAGAAGTTAAAGGAGGAAGGAAGGAAGGAAGGAAGGAAGGAAGGAAGGAAGGAAGGAAGGAAGGAAGGAAGGAAGGAAGGAGATTACAATGAGAGGGAGGGAGGGTCTCAGGGAATCCTGCTTTAGCACTTGGCCACCACAGGTGCCCCCAACACAAGTCCCATATCACCATTACCCCAGCCATAACACACACAACCCTCTGAGGTCAAACACAACCCTGACGCAGCCCTCAATGAAATAGAGTTTGACACTCCTGCTCTAATATATCAGTTACTCATATACTGCAAAGAATCTTTAGTGAATCCAGGATGAGAACCTGAGAAAAGAAGACTTAACATTCAGAAATATTGATGTCTGCCTGCAGAGGTCTGTTACAGGTTTCAAAGTCATCTTAAACACGTTTGCACTTCAAACTCATAATACTTTTTAAATATCATTCTGAATATAGAACGTCCTTGGTCAGATGAGTTACATGGCAGACTGGGTAACTGCAAGCTATTTATGAGATGGATGGCAGCATTAATACATCATTTTACCTTAGCCTCCTCCACATATGGTGAGAACAGCCTCGGCCTCACATAAATTCCGGCATTTTTTTGTCGCAGCCATACATTTGACTTTCCACCTTCTGCTGTTGGCAGCATGTCTGAAGGAGGTGTACTAATGAGACCTCTTTTCATCTTTAAAAGAAAACATCACATCAGAAAGGTAAACCATTATTTTTAAGTATAAAACAGCAACCATGTACAACCTGTTGAGCGTCACCCATAAGGAATAACTGAATTGTATCCATACCAAATCAAACACAACAACAACTGACTGAAGAATCGGAGCAAGTACCCCCAAAAACTTCCAAAACCACAATAAATTTTATATAATAACCTAAATCAGGGGCAAGAGATCTGTTCTTTGGTGGTGATTTGATGATCTTGTTGGATATCACCAAAGAAAAAGCCCCTGAACCTGAGTGGACTCTTCCCGGCCCATTTTTTTCTGCACTTTTCTCATGGACAGCAGCATAAAAAGCTGAAGCAGGATTCAAAGGAAACTTTAAAATATACTTACCGAATCTGTCAGTACTTCACTGTTCATAGGAAGGATGTGCTCAGTGCGGACGAACGGTAAGAGAGGGGAAAGGATTTCTTTTAATTCCTCAATATCAAGATCTCGCCTCTTTACACCACGCTTGTTCACACTGTGAGCTGTGCCACTCAGTAAATTGGGTTCTGAGAAATTAAATAAGTTGTTTTACTTAGGTGTTCTATTTTTTTTTTAAAAAAATTGATTAAAGACATATTTATTCTAAAGTTTTATTATTTCTTACTTATGAACATTACTTATATAAAAATCAGGTCTCGGACCAGCTTACTGTAAAATTAACCCAAATAAAAGAACTTCTAAATTTATTTTTTTAAAAATGCTATTTTTAAAGTTTTTTTTAAAAATGGCTTTAGTTCTTTGATTTGGGTTAATTTTTACTGTAAGCTGATCTGAGACCTATTGTCATTTAAGTAACATTAGTGTTACTTACATATAAGCCTGTATTAAAGAGCCGTGGTGGCGCAATGGTTAGAATGCATTACTGCAGGCTAACTCACTGCTCACTCCAGGAGTTCGATTCTGACCGCTCAAAGTTGACTCGGCCTTCCATCCTTTGAGGTCGGTAAAAGGAGGACACAGATAGTTGGGGACAATATGCTGACTCTAAATTGCTTAGAGACAGCTGGAAAGCACTATAAAGTGATATATAAGTCTAAGTGCTATTGCTATGTTCCCTAAAATAGAGATGTTAGAAGCTAACGCTGAGGTAAATACGGGGGCAAGAATTCTCTAGTTTTTTGGCCTTTGATTTTTGGGACAGTATTGTTTTCCTTTTATTTGAAAAACTGTATTAAGCTTATCTTAATGTTCATCATACAGTTTTTCTGACTTCTGTGTGGGTGGAAGGGGCTCTGCTGACCAGAAAAGAGAGTTTGGGAGGCCCATGCTGATTTATACTTTGTTTAGGATTTTAATGTCATAACAACTTAGAATCGCCTTCTTATCACTACAATATACTTCCAAAGCTGACACCAGCCAAAACACCGAACAACTCAAAGAAGCAGTGCAAAACTGGAAGATGTGGAGAACCTGGCCCATAGAATTTCCAAGAGTAGGACATGACTGGATGGATAACATTATCATCATCCCTGCAATATATACTACACCAGTCAAATATATGGACTACATTTAAATGTGGTCGCTTGGTAAACTGGACTATCAGGGATGTACTGAAGTTGTTCCTTCAATATTCTGACTTAAAGAAAAAGCATGGGACAGGTTAAGTTAAGTTAAAACTGGTTGTTTAACGTTATGTCATAATTGAAAAAAGTTACTTACAACCTGTCCTCTTTTGCCATTTTCTGGCAAAAAAACACCAATTAGATAAAATGGATTCACACTTATGAACATGTGGTTCGCTTAATGAACACATGATTTGCTTAACAACTTCTGTGACCTGCTTAATGATGATTATAAAAACAGTTATAAAATTGAGTCCAGTCAGGTGGTGTCTCAACTTACGATCGCAGCGACTTATGACCAAAATTGCAGTCCCAACTGTGGTTGTAAATTGGGCATCACCTGTACACACATTTATTAGGTAGTTAAATTCTGTTGGCACAAAACACACACATATAACACATATACAGATGAATATATAAGGAATTTCAGAGTTGCAGGGGATAACTACAACATACTGTACATCAATGTGCCAAAAGGCCTAGCTAATTTCTGCTGCTATTTATAGACAGGGCAATGGTAATGTCACCAGCAAATCCTTTCACCACGTAAGCACTTCAGTGCTTCTGCCACAGAAATATTAGTAGTATTGTAGACAAAAGTGGATACAATGAATGAATGAATTAATTAATGAAATTAACTTCATAAGCATTGTATTTCATACTAAAAAGCATGTTTCAGTCAGCATTTAAAGATTAAATATGAGAATTTCCTTATTAACAGTGATAGTATCTATTAAACACCTACCTCGATCTGCAATTCTTTTTATTAATTGATGTTCACCCCATTTCACAAGGTATTTCAAGATATCTTGCTCACTCGCCTATTGAAGGGAGATTTAAAACAAAGCATTAAAAAAACACAGTCTTAGGCACACAGCATCATCAAATTAACTTTTAGATCCAAAGTGCTTATTCTAATGAAGTTTAGATTAATAATAAATTACAGCTAATTAAGCTCCTTAATGCCAAAGATTTGTAACACAATATGCTACTGTTGCTCAATGCATTTTAGTCAAACTCCTACAGTTTTTATTACCAGCACTTCTAATTTGACAAAGGAACTTTGTTGAAGTATTCTACTTTTCATTACATGTGTGTGTAAATTTTCATTCTCTTTCAAACAATAACCCCGAGGGTGTCTTTGAGGTCCAGTTGTTGCACAATCGTATCTAACAATAATGTGTATCTGGACTTTGCTTGTTGCTGATGCAATGTTTTTTTGGTGGGGATGTGTTGCATCTTCTTGTATTTTGTTCTGTAAAATGCTAGCATTTTTAATTCTTTTTAAACACTCAAAGCAGTTTGATGAGTGAAATATAAAGAAGAGACAAAGCTATAACATCCCCATTCTTGAAATGAAATTCTGCTTCCTGCATTGCATTGCAGAAGAACTGAAAAGTGCATTGATGAATCACTAAGAATCTGCAGAAGTACTGGAGTAAGGCAGCATGTAAATGTAATACATTATTGTTATTATGGAATCAATAGGACACCAGATTATGGTGTCCAAAGGAGAAATAAAAAAACTCAAAGATGACAAATGCAACTGTATGACTTAACTTCCCCCCCCCCCCCCAACCTGCTTTTTGTATATGTGTGTACTAAGGGCAGGGGCTTTGATTTCATAGTCACAAGTATAATCTTGTAATATTATATGTGGATGACCTTGGAGAACAAAGGGAAGAGATGCTGCCTAGGAAACAACTAGCCAAGACAGATAGGAGCCCCCAGTGGTTTAACAGTCTCGCCCTAATTGATCAGGCGGTTAAAGCTAGTGGTGGGAAGTTTGTACCTCCAGACTTGCAAGATTCGGTTAATGGAGCCTTACAATGAAGTAAAATTAGCTCATCCAGTCACATTTCCTGTCTGGTTTATCTGGAAGGGCTGACACATCTTGACACATAGACCCTGCAGATGCCACTGCCTGCAACTCATCTCCGTCAAATGGATTTGTGGATGTTTAAGCAAGAAATTCTCTTATTTCTCCTGCTTTGTTCCAGGCAAGCATGAGTTAACATGTTGGTCCTTCTCTAAGCATATTATATGCTTTGGAAATATTTAAATGAAACAAGATAAATATAATCCCAAACCACTTCCTTTTCTAAGTGTTCCTGATATGCCAAAAGAAGCCAGGGGACAGAGAAATTGGAGCTAACCACAGGCTTCTAGTTGATATTTAATAACATGTATAGAAATATGACTGACATTCTGATTTTTAAAAGAACTTTGTTTTAACTATTCTGAAGCTGAAGAGAATTGAAAAATAAGACAAGTATATGAACCAAAGTTTCCAAATTTCATGCTATGTAATCAGAGCAAAAAAAGCATACAAAGATTTATTTTTCAAGGTAATATGTAATACAGATGAGAGACATTTTTGAACTAGGTAACAACAATCAATGGAGTTCTTTTTTTCATTTACTGAACTAGGAGTGTGGAGGAATGAAAAGTAATCAAAATCAAGGAGATTTAGTGTTTTTCAACGAGGAGCCTGGATTTCCCATTTTCTTGCCACAAATGTATGTTGTTAGTGTGAGACTACTATATAATTTCGATAAACCTCTGAAAAGGCAAGACAAAAATTAAGCCTAAAAGAAGTTTCACTTAAAATAATTTGCAACTGCTTCTAGGCTATTATTAGGCTTTCAAGCAATAGTTTATACTGTCAGTTTGGGCTGGGTTATATGCCAGGAAAGGAGAATGCTTTCCTTAATCACTACCTCTGCAAGCAACTTGTGTGTATAAATGCCAGAATAAGGGAAGAGGAAGAACCCGTTCTGCACACAGTAATTCAAGCAAGGTTTTGCTTCTTCTGTTTTTCTCCAGTGGTCAAAGTTTTAGAATCTGCATGTTTCTGTTCCATATCATTAGTAAGAAAGCCTGATTCAGCACTTCATAAAAGTAACTGAATGGGAAGAAACAATTACCTGTAAGTAGTCTGACTGGATAGCAGTTTGCAAGTGGTCTTTGCAAAGTTCATAAAAGACATCTGAAGTCATGATTTGGGAAAACTCCTCACAGAGGAAATGCAGGGCCTGGCGGTGTACCCACTTGGAGCCATAAGGCTGGGAGCTCCACTTGAGAACGGCAATTAAGGTTTCCAGTGAGATGCTCTCAGCAATAATATCCTCGCAGCCTACACAAAGAACACATACCATTTAATGAGGTTTACCTGTTCAAGAACTGCCATTATTCAGTAGAAGCCCTGTGATCAGAAAGTTTCATAAGTAAAACTACAACTGTCCTTTTAAGCAAGGTTCTTTTAAAAACTGGCCTGTCAACATCTGTTTATTTATACAGCTGCAATAGGCATAGTGTCTCAAAAGTAACTACAGGTAGTCCTCCACCACAAGTGGGACCAGCAGCTCACTTAAGTGGTGTGGTCGCTAAGTGAAACTGTGACTGTGCTTATGATTTTTACTTCAGCTTTCCTTTGCTTTGAAGGCCTGCCTAGGTTGTTAATGTGAGGACTAATTGCAGAGTTATTTTTTTCATCACCATTATAACTGCAAATGGTCGCTGTACGCTTAATGAGGGCTACCTGTAGTCAAATTTATATTCTAGAAATAGCAGTTTACTATCTTTGTCAGGATTCTGCCCTCCTCTCCCCCAATTACTGTCAGAGATCATTTAACTGAGGATATCGAAACTAAATCCAGATTCCACACAAACGAAGTAAATACAATGATCATGCCTCCTACGGGGCAATTTAAAATATCTATCTCCAACCACATGTGTGCACACAACAGGGTGGATTTGATTTAAATCATGATTTAAATCACTAGTAAAAAGGCTTGATTTAAATTAACTCGATTTAAATCATAATTTTTAAAGAGCAACTGTCATCTCTGTCCCACAGCGGCTCTTCCTCTGACCTGCTGTTGACTCACTGGCAGTCCCAATATTGCAGAATATGCAGCCTCATGCTACATAACTAAACTCTATTTCATGCTGAATAAGCTAAATTATTAATGTATTTTAAATAGAAAACTATCTTTACATAGATTTTTACTCCAAAAGCATTTTATTAAAATAAATTTGATAAAAACAAAAAAAAAATCTAATTTAAATTTAAAAAATCCAATTTAAATTTTTAAAAAAATGATTTTTTAATTTTTTTTTAAAAAAATTGATTTTTATCCACCCTGGCACACACACAAACACGCACACACACACACACACAAACTCTTTTCCAGGACTCCAAATAAGCCAAATCATCAGGGGTGAAATGCTCCTGGATCGGACCGGATCGCTTGATCCGGTAGCAATCTTGGCTGGTGGTTCGACAATCCGGTAGCGATGGTGGAGTGAAGCTCCGCCCACCCACCCAGGTATCATAACTTCTTGCTTTTAACCAGGAAGTAATGTGTTTTTTACCTTCTGCGCATGCGCATGGGCAGAAGATCTGTGCGCGCCTGTGATGGGCGCACATGTGATGCATGCAGTTCTGAACCGGTAAGGAAGGTAAGTAGATTTCACCCCTGCAAATCATCCATATATAGTTTGTTTTTCACAAAACCACATTAATCAACAAACATAATCAAGAGTTATTTTTGCTAACTGTGCTTAGTAGTTCAACCTATATACTATTAAACTCTGATTCCTGTAATATTTAACTGGGTGAAATGGTGCACCATAGGTAAAACATTTTCAACTGAGGTACTTCAAATGGACTAATTTGCAAAATGGGTTCAAAATCTGGAACCTGTGACTCCTGTGGAATTGAAATTTGTCAAATTATATAAAACATTTTATTTCATAAGCAGTATTATAAAGCACTTTATGACATAATGCAAAATGTCATAAAACATTTCCTGTGCTGATGTTGGACTATGTGATACATGAGTTATTTTCAAGGCAGACACATCTCTGAATGTATCCCAATTTTTCCAGTGAAGGCTGTATATCAGAAGCTGTGTTACTGTTGAAGGCACGGAGGAATCCAGTTAGTAAACATCTTTGAATGGATGACTCAAAGGGAGGGAGGGAGGGAGGGAGGGAGGGGAGAAAGAAGGAAGGAAGGAAGATTTCCAAGTTCACTGCCAGCTTCCCACAAGGAAATTCAATGGAGAAGCCAACAGGAAGTTGAATGTTGCTCCCACTGCCACTGAATTTTTTTTTGGCCTGCCTGGCTGCGGAGGTTGTTTTTTTTCTGTTTAGGTAAGGAAATATCTCTGAAACAATGACCCAAGTCATGGATTGTCTAGTGAATAGCAAAAGTACCTTTAAATGCCCACTTAATACTTCAGTAGAGCTGTAGCATTTGTTACAGCAGAAAACATGTCCAGCAGATTTAATTAGAAATGGAACAACGAAAGTTAATGTTTTCTTAGCTATTTAATTCAGCAATCTAACCTCCCCATTTCTCACATGCTGCTTGTCTAGACTTCAGGATTTGGCAGACGTAATCCTCCACAGATTTGCCTCTATTGCCAGGAGAAGCGTCTCCTACACTCAAGCAGAGCTCTGCCTCCAACACATACCGTATGTTCCCACCATTAGCTGCAAGATGCAGATTGGTCCATGTCTCCATAAAGAACTTAATTTTGGATCCTCCTCAGCTATACCAATCTGGAATAAATCACCACTTTTTCTGGGGAATCAAAACATAGGTCACAAGGCAAATAATCAAGGCTCACTGCAGCGCTTTTTATTATATAAATAGTACAGGGCTAGAGGAGACCTCACTAAAAGGATCATGAGAGCTGCCCCTCTAAACCTCAGAGCTGCCCCCTGAGCCAAAGAGATGCACTGATATTTATATATTTCAGAAAAGGTGGAATCAAATTATATATTTCAGAAAAGGGGGAATCATACATATCAAACCAGTCAGTCCTAGAGGAGATCAACTCTGACTGCTCTTTAGAAGGCCAGATCCTGAAGATGAAACTCAAATACTTTGGCCACCTAATGAGAAGGAGGGACTTACTGGAGAAGAGCCTAATGCTGGGAATGATTGAGAGCAAAAGAAGAACGGGATGACAGAGAATAACGTGGTTGGATGGAGTCACCGAAGCAGTCAGTGTAAGCTTAAATGGACTCCAAAGGACAGTAGAGGACAGGAAAGCCTGGAGGAACATTGTCCATGGGGTCCTGATCAGGGGTAAAATCTAAAATTTGTTACTACTGGTTCTGTGGGCGTGGCTTGGTGGGGGGTTGGTAATGTGACTGGGTGGCGTGGCCAACTTTTTTTTTTTTTTTACTTTTAAAAGCATTTTTTTCTACAGCCTCTTTGGCCAAAGAGGTTGCAGGAAAAAATGCTTTTAGGAGTCTCTGATGATCAGGCAACTCAGCTGGGATCGCCAGAGGCTTTTAAAGGCATTTTTTTTTCTACAGCCTCTTCGGCCGAAGAGGTTGTAGAAAAAATGCTTTTAAAAGCCTCTGACAATCCCAGCTGAGCCACGCGATCATCAGAGGCTTTTAAAAGCATTTTTTCGGCTGAATTGGTGGTAGAAAAAATGCTTTTAAAAGAAAAAAAAACAGCCTCTGATGATCACGCGGTTCAGCTGGGCATGGGGGCGGGGCGCAGGGATTTTTGCTACCAGTTCTCTGAACCACCCGCCGCCATCGCTACTGGATCAGGCGATCCGGTCCGAACCAGGAGCATTTCACCCCTGGTCCTGATGGGTCGGACACGACTTCAAATAACAACAACAACAAACTAATAAATCTCAGGTTACCTCCTATCATTCTGCTATCCACTATCTTCAAAGGAAACAATTGTCTTAGTCAGAAAAAAAAAGTCAAAAGGACAGGACAATTTAGTATGTCAAATACTAGAAGGAAGATATCCTTCATTGGTATCTTGAGGACAGATTTATAGGTTGCCAAGGGAATGTTCTGGTAAGATTTACAACAGGCTGGTGTGGAATGAGATGATAAGCCAGACCCAAGGCTATTGCAAATTCCTTATGTTTCAATTTGATTTCAACTGAAAATTTACAAGTAGGCTTCAGCTTACAACCGTTCACTAAGCAACAGTCAGAAATTACAACATAACCCTCAAAATGTATTTACAACTTAGATTCAAGGTTCTTCCCCCATGGTCACAAGATCGCATTTGGGACATTCAGCAACTGGCTCACATTTACAGCCATTTGCAGAATCCCATTCACACGACCAAGATTTATAATCTTGGGGATTATAAATTTTGGGGGAAACACTCTGGACTTGGTTTTTGTCTCTGGACAGTGGTTGAATGATCTCAATATTGGGGATATAGTGACTGAACCCTTGTCGTGGTTGGATCATTCCCTCCTTTGACCTTCGAACCGCCACACCCCGCCGCAGGGAGGCGGAACCTATTTGGTGGTTCCGCCCCAGGCGCCTGATGGACCCGGATCGGTTCCAGACGGAGCTTGGGCTGTTTCCTGAGGCTCTGGCTCACGGCTCGACCGAAGACCTGGTGGCTGCCTGGGATAGGGCGGCCACTGGAGCTTTGGATCGGGTAGTGCCTTTGCGGCCTCTGACTCGGCGCCGATCTCGCTTGGCTCCTTGGTTTACAGAGGAGCTGAGGGAGATGAAGCACCGGAAAAGACGCCTGGAGAGCGGTTGGAGGGCTAGCCAGTCTGAATCTGACCGAACACTGGTAAGGTCTCATATTAAGACTTACCTAGTGGCGATAAAAGCAGCAAAATGTAACAATTTTTCCGCTCTTATTGCGTCATCAGATAATCGCCCAGCCACCCTGTTTAGGGTGACCCGCTCCCTGCTCCTTCAGGAAGCGTGGGAGGACCCCTTGGAGGGCAGAGCCGAGGATTTTGTACAGTATCTGTATGATAAAATCGCTCAGATTCGGGAACACCTGGACTCTGACGGGGTAGATCCAGGGGGGAGGATGGAGGCAGGTCTTGAGAATATTATCTGGGAAGAGTTTGATTCTGTGACTCCCGAAGACGTGGACAGAATATTGAGTAGACTGAATGCTACCACATGTTTATTGGACCCGTGTCCCTCCTGGCTGGTGCTGGCCTCTCGGGAGGTTACACGAGCCTGGCTCCAGGGGATTATAAATGCTTCTTTGAGTGAGGGTGTCTTTCCCGCTGCCTTGAAAGAGGCGGTGGTGAGACCTCTCCTCAAGAAGCCTTCCCTGGACCCGGCAGTATTGGCTAATTACTGTCCAGTCTCCAACCTTCG